ACTCTTAGGCTCCCTCGGGGCGGCTCAGTGGGTTAAGGTACCTGCTGCCAAGCCCGATGACCTGAGTTCAGTTCTGGGTGCCCACATGGAGGAAGGAGAGAGCTGACTCCTATACGAACTCTACCCTCCACCTGTGAACAGTGTGTCCACATACATACACACAATAAATAAATATACACATTTAACATATGTGTGTATACACATATACACTCCAAAGCTTATGCTCTTTTTTGGAGCATTTTGCTTATTTTTTTAAGATTTACTTTTAATCTTTATTCATGTGTACGTGTGTATGCATCTGTGTGGGTATGTGCACATGAGTGAACACAGGTGTCCCAAGAGACCAGAAGAAGGCACCAGACCCACTGGAAATAGAGTTACAGAAGCTGTGAGCTGTCTGATGTGGGTGCTGGACTGAACTCAGGTCCTCTGGAAGAGCAGCAAGCACTCTTAACCACGGAGCCATCTCCTCATCATCCCAGCCCCCCCCCTTTTTTTTTATTTTTTGAAACAAGGTCTCACTGTGTAGCCCTAGGCTGGTTTTGAACTTGTAGAGATCCATCTGAGTACTGGGATTAAAGGCAAAAAAGCTTTGGGTTTTTTTGTTGTTGTTTTGTTTTGTTTTTTAGTTTTAGTTTTGGGGACAGGATCTCACTATATAACCCTGTCTATCCTGGAACTCACTATATAGGCCAGGCTGGTCTCAAACTCACAGAGATCTACTTGTCTCTGCCCCCAGAGTGCTGGTATCAAAGGTGTGTGCCACTATATCTAGCTAAAAAAAAGAACAAAAAAACTTTTCTTTTGTTTTGGTTTCTTGAGCTAAAAGCCATTTTTTAATGTTTATTTATTCTGTGTGCATGTGTTTACATGTGTGCATGTGTTCACATGTGTGCATGTGTTCACATGTGTGCATGCACCTCTGTGTTGGTGTGGAGGTGAGGGGACAACTGGTAGCATTTGGTTTTCTCCTTTGGTCGTGTGGGTCAGGGATTAGATTCATGGTGTCAAGTTTGGCGGCAAGTACTTTTAGCAGCTGAGCCAATACTCTGGTCCTGTTTTGTTTTACTTTTAAACGAGACAGGATTGCTATCTGCAGCCCAGTGTGGCCTTGAACTCACTGTGTAGCCCAGGCTGTCCTCAAATTCTTAATCCTCCTGCCTCAGCCTCCTGAGTGCTAAGATTACAAGCAAATGCCACCACATCTAGCTTGGAGCTTACCTTCTGATGGGCAAAAATGGGGAAAAAATAAGTAAAAGGGTGTAGGCTAGTTAGCCGGTCTTGTAGCTCCATAGTGATGGTAGAGTACTTTCCAGGCATGCACAGGCCCTGGGTTTAGTCCCTATGGGGACTAAATGAAAAGGGATGAGGAAGCAGGTCATTGGCGCATATGACAGAGTCCACTTCGGTTAGAGAGATATGGACAAGTGCAAATGTCCTGTGGCAGGGGTGTGCCTGGCATATTGTAGCCTTGTGGACTCACATGAGGCCAGAGTAATTGGGGAAGTGGAGCAGGGGAGTGGTACATGAGGCCGGTGTCTGGGCTTGTAGGCCAGCAGAAGGATTTCGACCTGTACTTGGTCTACGAGAGAAACTGACTAGTCAGGCAGTGGTGGTGGCGCACGCCTTTAATCCCAGCACTCGAGAGGCAGAGGCAGGAGGATCTCTGTGAGTTCGAGGCCAGCCTGGTCTGCAGAGTGAGTTCAGGACAGCCGGAACTGTTATACAGAGAAACCCTGTGGGGGTGGGGGGAAGATTGGGCAGATGAGGAGGAGGCAGTCAGCAAAGTAGGAGGGGAAAAAAGAGAATGGGAGCCAGGTGAAGAATCAGTTGTCCAATGACAATTTCAGTTCCGGGGGGTAGGCAGTAAGGAAGAAAAAGTAGCATGCCAGGAGAGTGTTGAATGAGAGACCTGACCTAGTTAAGAGCCAGGGGAAGACTCCCTGGGGCAGAGGAGACATTTCAGTTGCAGGCTCTCCTGTTCTCTTTATTACCCACTAAAAGCCCGCCTCCTCTGCCCCGCTGCTGTTTGGAATGGCTTAACTGAGAGCCATGTGGCAGCCGCTAGTGGGATGCTGGGGCGCAGCATGCTTAGATTGCGAATTTTGCCTGCGCTCAGCTTTAATCCTGACTTCATTGCCTCCTCTCCCAACGGGAGCTGCTCCGGGGTGGATTTTTAACCTGGATACCCCTGCAGCTTCTTCCAGGCTGTTCTGACAGAGGCCCTCTGAAATCTGGCCCTGAATTGTCCTCCTGGGGACAAGCCTTTGGGACTAAGAGGTGACCAGTAAGTCGTCACCTTAGGGAAGATTGCTAGAGGCAGAGCACGGCCAGGTAGTAGGACATGTGGATGAGTCGATATCACACTGATTTAGCAAAGGACCATAGAAAAGAACGCTAGAAATCATTAGGAGAGGAGCCTTGTCTATCTCCTTTAGCGCCAATCCCTAGCAAGGGTGGTCGTGGAGAGGGTGGTAGGAGGTGTTGTGTTGAGTAAACTTGACAGTTCCATGAGGGACACGAGCTTAAGACTGGCCTTCCCACATCCTCTCCGGGTGCAGCATGATTCCCCCAGGTCTGTCGTTCATAAGGACCCTGTGCAAAATTGCGGTAGGGCCTCTTGGTGACTCCCGGAGAAGCAGGCACAAACACGGGTTTTACTGCCAACCTTTCCTTACGTAGGTTCCCAAGCGGAGGCAACTGTTGGTCTTCCCACTGCCGGCACTCCGGGCTTCTGGAGGCAGCGCGTTCGGCAACCAGACACACAGAGAGGCTGTCATCCATCCTCTCCGACGTTCCTTTCACTCCCAGGCCTGCCGGCTTCCCACCGGGTGGCGGGTCGGGCACGTGCCAATATCCGCGCCCCCTCCTGGGCAGTCGGGGATGCTCTGCGCGCTGCGGGCTGCCCAGGAAGGGAAATCCCAGAGGAAGCCATTGTTGTCACGTCCCCTGCTGTCGTCATCGGCCTAGGCGTGCCTAGGAGCCGGTTCCCCCATTCTGGAGCTCGCCCTGGCCACTGGGGGCGACACGGGTCTCTGGAGAGCAGGATGGCTCTTTGCCCGCCCCCCAGCACCACCAGCGCAATTGGAATCAGGGGAACCCCAGGGCAGGCAGAGTTTAGAAAACCGACGGCCCCGGGTGGCTTAGCTGAACAGGGACATGATCTCCACCCTGGCTCTGACGTGGGCCAGCAAGGTGACCTTGGCCCGGGGCTTCCCCTCGGTTTGTCCAGAGACAAGAGCTGAGGCCCTCAAGACCGTAGGGGAGATTGGGAGGCGAGAGCCCCCTTTGGCCCAGGCACGGGTGCAGAGGGAAGTCCGACGGTGGCCTGGGCGCGCGTGGGCTGAGACCCGCACCAAAGGCATGCAGACCCTTTTCTGCTCGGCTTCGCCCCTCACTACCATCCCTTCGCGCATGCCACCCCCGCAAACCTGGCGCCAGCCTAGCCGCACTTTCCCCCGCCGGAACAGCCAGCCCGCTGCCCTGCCGGTTTTGCCTAATCCGTTTTAAGCCTCACCTCCTCCGCGAAGCTCTCCCGGGTTAACCCCATCACTTCCAGACACTGGCGTGCTCACGGTTTCTTTGATTTTTCATTTTTGTTTGGTTTGGTTTGCTTTTTTTTGGAAATGCACACGCGATGTCATTGTTTGGAACAAGCGTGTTGAGGGCAGGTGTCGATCCCCGGGACCTTGAATTCAGAAGGCTCGCTGTGTTCCAAAGGACGCGGTTGGTGGGTTTACTGCCCGGGCTAAGCACCCCACAGCTGAGAATGCACAACCCAATTCCTCTCCCCTTGTCATCCCACAGTGGCGGCAGGTGTGAGGAGCAGAGAGCACTGAACGTCTGAGGTTTCGACTCGAGCTTTGGCCGCCGACGGCTGTAAGTCACTCCTTTCTCTGGGCTTAGTCCTCCCCCCCAAATGAGCACACCAGACGGTGTTACAGTACGTGGGCAAGCAAGGAGTCACGTGCTGGCAGGCTGACCAAGCAGCCTCCCTCAGTAAACAGTGGCTGGTGACCCCCGAGAGGTGACAGTGCACCTCCGGCTGCCCCAGCCTCTGGGAGGGGATCGGAACCCACTCTCTTCAGCTGCCAGCCGGGCGGCGGCGCGGTAATCTGATTCCGATGGGAAAAGGATGGGGCATTTGTTCCAGGTCACATGACCTTGTGTGGGTCTAGGACTTAGTTTACGTTATCTGGAAAGTGGGGATAATATATGGGTTGAAGGACAGCAGAAAGGTTTTTGTTACCCGAAGTCGCCGTATAAAAATAAATGGTAATTAGCGGTACAGTGCTTGGGAGCAGATTTTGCTCATGAGTTCCTATTCCAGAGCCTCCACAGTGGGATTTCTGGCTGGAGTCCTTGGAGTTGTTTGGGAATGTGTCACCGCTCACCCCAGATTCTCTCTGTTTCTCTCCAGATCGATTTGGCACCTGTTTCTGCCTCCGCGTGGGGGCCAGAGCCACAAAGTGATTGGGTGGTGGGACGACGCCCCTAAGCCCTCATGCATAGGGTAGTGTCCCTTCCAAAAGTTTGGTGCCAGAGGGGTCCCTGGGTGAGAAGAGCCAGGCTAGGAACTGGTGGGCGGGACTCGGGCAAGGGCGGGGCTGGGGAGATGGAGCGCGGGCTAGAACCCCAGTGTCAGGGCACCGTGGTGGTTCCCCCACCCCACCCCACGATTTGGCGCGCGGGGGGGTGACCCGGTGGATGGGTCTCTGGATTTAGGGGCGGGTCCTGGAGGCGGGTCTTAAGTGTGGGAGAGAGAAAGAGGGAGAGACTCCGGAGCCTGGAGGCGGGGTTTGGGGAGCTCGCCCCACGTGGGGCGGGGCTCCCGCTGCCGCGGGCTCTGCAGTTCGGACTCGGAACGCCACAGTCGCCGCAGTTCCCTCCACTCTGGTGGCCCCACGGCCCTGCGGGGAGTCCGGGTGGTCCTCGGGCCGCTCGGATTTGGCACAAGGCCGGCCCCGCCTCTCCCCCTCGGTGCGGCCTAGACGGCCGGGGCAGCGGGGACATGGAGCCGTCTCCGGCCACCGGAGGCTCGGAGACCACCCGCCTCGTGAGTGCGGGAGACCGTGGCGGCGCCGGCGGCGGCGGCGGCGGCGGCCTGCGATTGAAGAGGTAGGACAGACCTGGGCTGGCTCTCGGCCCGGGGCCACCGGACTCGTGCCATCGGTCCGTTTCGTTGTCTGTCTCAGCGCCGGCCCGGCCCGCCTCCCCAGCGCCCCGGGGTCCCCAGACTTCGCGAGCCGATCGGCCGGCCGCAGCCCGCCCCCGCCCCCGTCCCGCCTCTGTCCGACACCCCATTTTCTCGAGGCCAGGTGCAGCAAGTCCCCTGTCGCGGCGCCCCAAGCCTCCCGACCCCTGCGCCGCCTCCGCCGCGGCCGGCCGGGGCTACGAGCGAGCGAGCGGCCGCCGCTCCGTCGGACCGAGCGGGCCAGCTACGGCGATGTCCGCATTGCCCCTTGAGCCTCGCCTCCCGGCCTCGGAACCCCGGCTTTAGGCCTCGGGCTCGGGGCGCCCCATCCAGCGGCGGCCAGTGGTGGGCACCGGCTCCGGGGATCGGCTCGGGCTCAGCGGGCGGCCGCGAGGAAGCGAGGGGGCGGCGAGGAAGGAGCAGGTGCGGGCTGGGCGGCGGGGGGTATTCCCGGCTCCGCACAGACGGGGCCGGGGGCGGCGAGGTGTGAAATGAGGCGCCGAGCGGCCGGGACAGCGGGCCGGGGGCGGCGGCAGAACCTCCCCCGCACCCTGCGGGCCTCCCGCGCCCGCCGCCAGCCGCCGCCGGCTCCGTCTGCCCTGCCATCTCGGAGCGGCCACGGCGACAGGCCCTCCCGGCCACCTCCGCTAGCCATTTTGTCTGGCCGTCCGTTTGTCTCTGGAATTTGACAGGGTCTCTGGCTTTCTGTTCTTCCATCTCCCTCCATCTATTTCCTCCCAGCCCTCTCCTTTTGTCTCCGTTGTGGTCTTCTGTGTGTTTCCAGTTCTTTCCTTGGGAGGGGGGCCTTGAACCTGAGTGGGTGGGGGAATGGGGTCAGAACGAAGGAAGGATTCTTTCCGCAGGGGACTGCAGTGGTGGGCAGCTGTGGGGCTCCAGCTGGGGCCCTGGCATCGCTTCCGATACCCTTTGGCTTTGCATCAGCCCCTCTCACTTGCCTAAGGAATACTCCAGGCCTCACTGTTTGCCCCCACGCTATTATCGTTTTGTTGTTTGTTGGGGGATTTCAGAAGGCCAGGGAGGGAAACAGCCTCCAGCCCTGGACGAAATGCAGCCACCCTCCGCACCCCAGCAGAGAGGCCCCTTTAGTGCCCACTTGATACGAAACAAAAGGGCAGCCTGTTGATGGGTGGCTACAGCCATGGCTGGTCATGTTGCGTCTTACAAGCCTGAAAGGCGGCTGGCTACAGATTCCGAACTGCCCAGCATCTGTTTCCTCTTCAGATTGCATCTTCATCCCCTGGACCATTTTCATCCTCATATGACCATTAGTCACCAGATCCTGCGGGATTTTCCGAGGCCCTGCCTGTTTACCTGACCCTCCTCTGATGCTGTGCCTGGCAGAGCATCCGGGCAGACCCATTCTAGACTCTTCTATGCCCTCTTTCCCGCACTCCACCATCAAGGTCATTTCAACCTGAAGATATGTGCACGGTCCACCAGTGGACCCTTCCCTCAGCCCCTTTCCTCGGCCCTTCTAACACCGCACTTACACTCCAAGCTGCATACCTTGTCATTGTAATTCCACCTGTCAGGAGCATCTTCTATGGCGTGTGCCTTCCTCTGATGCCCTCTACATCCCCATTAAAGTCAGTCACTCCCTCCCCTGGGCCCCAAAGTGATTTGTTTAGAACCCCCCCCCCCAGCCTCTCCCTGGTAGAAGTCATGTTATGCATTTGTCTCCCGCCAGACTGGGGTCCCTTGTGTTGGCTACCGCTTGCCATTCCTCGTGGAACGAACAGGGAGGGTCTCTAAAGCCACTGTCATCACCCTGCCTGTCTCTTCTGGGGACACCAGAATTATGCACATTCATTCTCAGGCTAGGAAGGGGCTTTTCATTTAAGAAATACACCTGCCTTTCCACTCCAGAATTCCCCCCATAACCGCTGGATACCCCCAACCTCGGCTCACCCCTTCAGCACTGTTCTCCGCAGTCAGGTGGCTGCCAGCGCCCCTTCCCGTCTCCTGCTGGGATCATTTTCCCACAGGGATAATGTTACTCCTGTATTTCAGGACTGTCTTCTGGGTTGAGGTCCTTTAATTTGTCCTTAACTTGCTGGGGTACCGGAAAGACAGTGGGGGCCGTGAGGATTGGGCTAGAGCAGGTCCTAAACACAGTCAGTTGGAGTCCTGCCTGTGGCATCCCTGGGTAAGGCTGGTCCATTCCTATTGTCAAGGGATGTGTGAGCATCCTGGGCTTCAGGTAACGTGGGCTGGACTCCAAATCCATTGCTGTCAGTACCACCCCAGATGTAGCTGGCAGGAAACCCCCCTCCTGTGACAACCCTGCTTGCTCCCCTGGTCTGTGTTCAGGGCTAACCTTCAACTCTTGATCCTCCTGCCTCAACTTCCCATGTGCTGGGACTGCAGACATGAGTCATCACGCCAGTTTCCACTCCCCTTTCAAAGCACCTCACCTATATCTCCTGGCTTGAGAGGAAAGGATGGATAGGATTTGGGGACCGAGGCGTTGGAGCAAAGCTAAGAGAGATGCATGAAGTGGGTTTGTGTGTACCATGCTCTCATACCAACTTCTTTTCGTGTTCCTCTGGCTCTTTGACTGTCTCTGTCAAACCTCCCCCCCCCCATTTTCAAGGCCTTTCTCATGTGGTTTCTGTGATCTCCTCACTAGAGCTCATTTGAGAGCGCCAGAATTCCTCCAGCAGCAACATCCGCCTTCTGCTGTGTGCCATCGTGTCTAGTCCGCATTTGTTCCATTCACCAAGAACTCACGTCATTCAGGAAGAGTGGCCGTTGGTTTTCCGTTCCTGGGGTGCCTCTCGTAGTATAGGATTTGGTCAGTATCTAGTCCCACCTGCTGGCTGTGCGGCTCCCACCGGGTCTCTCCCTTCGGAGCCTTGCATTTCACATCCATCCGTTAAAACATTAGACTTTACTTTGCAGATATGGGAGTCTGTGGCCCTGTGTATGGAAGGAGAGAGAGCCCGGGTTTGAGTGTTCATTTGAGCCCCCACATGCCCGCAAAGCTCCGGGCATGATTGGGTCTAGCAAAGGGGTAGAGATGGGCCCATCTGCTCAGGCAGGCACCGGGTCTGTCAGCCAGGGAGTGACCAGGTTAGTTCTTTGGTCAAGCTCGAGGGTGAACATGTCTCCCGCCTCAGTCTTTTCACAGAGCCCTCAGAGCCCCTTCCTGAGGAGGCCAAGCTTGAGGGGATGGCCCACCGCCATTGCCATAAGAACGCCCAGGCGCTGTCAGGCCTCTCTCCCGAGAGGCTGCAGGCCCGGAGGCAACTGTATGCTGCCTGTGCTGTGTGCTTAATCTTCATGGCCGGGGAGGTGGTTGGTAAGTGGGGGGACACCCCTCCAGTCCATATTCTGTACTTCCTAGGCCAGGCAAGCTGGGAGGGGCATGGGGAGGGGCACGGGGGGTGGGGGGGGAAGATTCAGGATGAACCAGCATGACGTTTGTGGACCAGGCTCTGTGTGAACTGGCATTTTAAGAACCCTATTCTCTTGTTATGAAAATCAAATATATTACTATGGAAAGACTAGAAAAAAAATTACCTGTAATCAGGCGGGTGGTGGTGCACGCCTTTAATCCCAGCACTTGGGAGGCAGAGGCAGGTGGATCTCTGTGAGTTCCAGGACAGCCAGGGCTACACCAAGAAACCCTGTCTTGAAAAACCGAAAAAATAAAAAATAAAATAAATACTTGTAATCTTATCACCCGAGAAAACCCCCGGTCTCTTTTTGGTGTGTCCCCACCCCACACCCTCCACTTTCTTTTCCACACCTCACATACTACACATTTCCTAGGTGGGTATTTGGCACACAGCTTGGCCATTATGACCGATGCCGCTCACTTGCTGGCAGATGTAGGCAGCATGGTAGCCAGCCTCTTCTCCCTCTGGCTCTCCTCTCGGCCAGCCACCCGAACCATGACCTTTGGCTGGCACCGCTCCGGTAAAGCCCTGCATGACTCAGTGCCCACCCCCCCCCACCCCAGCCCTGCCCGTGCCTCAGGGCCCTGACCTGACAGCTGGTCTTCCCCTGCAGAGACTCTGGGGGCTTTGGCCTCTGTGATCTCCCTCTGGATGGTCACTGGCGTCCTGCTGTACCTGGCCTTCAACCGCCTGCTGCATAGTGACTACCATATCGAGGCGGGCGCCATGCTGCTGACCGCGAGCATCGCTGTCTGCGCCAATATGCTGTATGTCCCAGTGTGGAGTGGGCACCAAGTGGGGTCTAGAGTGAGAGCCAGGGCCTTCTTCCAGGATAGTAGAGCTTCTCTGGGGGTACCTGGGAGGGAGACAGTCAGCCGGGAGACACTTGCTGAGGGCTTACTGGATACTAGCCTTATTTTTATCAGTGTGGTCTTATCTGAGTCTATCAATCCATAAACACTAGTTTACTTCCCAGTATCCTGTAAGAGATATGCCAGGGGACCAACTGACTATTCACATAGCAGGGCCAGGGCCCGAATCCCCACCTCTGGCCCCATGTCCAGTATCTTTTGCCCCTGACAGCATAACTTCTCTCTGTGAGGTAGTGCTAGCTTTCTGGGATGGGAAATGGGTGGAGGTGGGTGCCGGAGGGGAGGCCAAGAACAGGCCATCATCTGGCTGAACCTTTCTCCTTCTCCTTCAGAATGGCCTTTGTGCTGCACCAGACTGGGCCTTCCCACAACCATGGATCTAGGGGTAGAGGGTACGCACCACTGGAGGAGGGGCAAGAACAGGCCATCATCTGGCTGAACCTCTCTCCTTCTCCTTCAGAATGGCCTTTGTGCTGCACCAGACTGGGCCCTCCCACAGCCATGGATCTAGGGGTAGAGGGTATGCACCACTGGAGGAGGGGCAAGGATACCCCCTGTCCCTGGGAAATACCAGCGTCCGGGCTGCCTTTGTGCATGTACTGGGAGATCTCCTTCAGAGCCTGGGGGTCCTGGTTGCCTCCATCCTCATCTACTTCAAGGTACTGTTATGGAGGCTGCTTCAGTCTCCCCTCCCTATTCTGCACCCCACCTCCCTTTTCCTGGTACCCTCTGACTTATTCACTTCAGCTTCTAGCTTCGCAGAGCCTCTCCCAACTCTGGGTCATGTCTCCTTCCCCCTCCGCGAGAGTCTCAGGATCCCTTCAGGTTGTTTGCCAAGATGGCCCTAGAGCCTTCTCTAAGAGGTCTTGCTCTCTCTACAGCCTCAGTACAAGGCGGCTGACCCAATCAGTACTTTCCTCTTCTCTATCTGTGCCCTTGGATCCACAGCCCCTACCCTTCGAGACGTGCTCCGCATCCTCATGGAAGGTGAATTCAACATTGATGCTCCCGCCCCGGGGCTCCCTCGGCGTCCACCCCTTCTCCAAAACTGGGAGAAAGCTGGTTCAGGAGGGCTTTTGGAAGAAAGAGGCCTGGGGTCAACAGGGTGGGGGAGAACGGGACTGGGAGAGTGGAGTCTGGGGGGCGGGGGGGGGGGGGGGGGCGGCGCTGCTCCTGGACGGGCCCTGGCGGCAACATGGTGGCATTGGTTGCAGGTGCCCCTCCCAGCGTGGGGTTTGAACCTGTAAGGGACACACTGCTCTCAGTGCCGGGAGTCCGAGCGACCCATGATCTCCACCTGTGGGCCCTGACGCTTACTTACCACGCCGCCTCTGCACACCTGGCTATTGGTGAGTCAAGGCTAGCCCAGCCCCTCTGCTTCCACCTGTGGCGATGGCTGGGCGTGGCGAGGCATTGTCTGTTCGAGACCGAGTCTCACTATGTAGCCCAGGCTGTCCCTAAGATCCTCCTGCCTCAGCCTCCTGAGTGCTGGGATTTCACGTATGAAATACTCCACCTGTTTTGGTTTTCTTGATCTCTCTCTGTGTCTCTCTGACACACATTCGTGTGCATACTCATGCACACACATACTCTGGAGACAAGGAGGCCTGGGCACTGCAATACCGTTTCTGAAGCCACATGGGGACCTGGTCCCTTTAAAATGTTACCAGTACCTGCAGGACTTAGTTTGGTGATTGTGGCAGGCCCCACACAGCAGGGTATCACATTGCTATTTAAAGTGGTGATTATGAAGCCTGTATGGCAACTAGGGAAAATGTTTGTGGTATAATGCTTGAGGGAAAAAAAGCTGAATATAAATTATATCTACATTATGATTCAACTATTAAAATATATATACAGTGACTCATGAGCTGACAAAGGGTTTTTGAGTCTCTCCCAGATGCGAGAAGCAATCAGAGGCATGCAATTTGGATGCCAAAAATATCATAACTTGTGGGATGTTGGATGGTAACTCGAGAGGGACAGTGGGGCAGAATACTTAACATCTGGCTTGTCCTGGAAAGACGGTGGTGTGGCTGCTGAACTATCAAGCCGCGTATTGATGCTCAAAGGCAGAAAGGACTAGGTAACTGGGCACGGTCTGATGTGCTAGCGCGGCCCATTGGAGTGAGTCTCCCTCACATTTTCTTTACAATTTTACGCTGTTCATATAATGCAGTGATGCAGGAGGAAAATGAAAAGCCCTGTTCTGTCCTTTGGGGTTGTCCTGTGCTCGGGCCCCTTCACTCCTTATCACAGCCCTCGGCTGTGCCCGGCTCCCCAGGGACTGAGCCGCCTCTTATCACCCTCCCACAGACTCCACGGCTGACCCTGAAGCTGTCCTGGCCGAAGCCTCATCGCGGCTCTATTCCCGGTTTGGATTCTCCAGCTGCACCCTGCAGGTGGAGCGATACCAGCCTGAGATGGCCCGGTGTGCGCACTGCCGGGAACCCACCCAAGCCTGAGCCCCACCCTCGCCCCACTGCCAGACCCAGACTCAGCCATGGATTCTCAGCACCTGCCTCCCCATCACAGAAGGGACCATCTTCTCTCCACCTTCCACCTGCCAAATGCCCCAGCCCCAGCCCCTGTGGTCAAGACCAAAGGTGTGTGTGTGGTGTATGAGAGGGAAGTTGGGGGAGGGGAGGATCAGACTGAATAGTTGTAAACAGTTTAGGGGTGTGGGGTGTGGGGAGCCCCACCATCCGCGTTCCACATGGCCTTGGAGAGTCATGCTTTCTGTGAAATTCATGTGTCCTTATGGCAGGCTGGCTGGCTAGCTGGGGACATCTGCCTGTCTGTGTGCTGTTCGTGTGCCTATGCCTGGGGAGGTCATCAGGGGCCCCCTCCCCACATGATCCTTGCTCTGTCTATGCAGGGGCCCCAAAGCCTGCACTTTGTTCCTGTGTCCTACCTTGTGGTTTTGTCTGTTGTGTATGTGTGTTCTTTGGTGCTGTGGCCTTGTGTGTCTTTACCTGTGTGGCTGTGCTGGTCTCTGAGTCTGCTCTACCTGTGTATCCATTAAGGGGTCTGTCTGTCCATCCCCTCTGTTGGTGCTGTATCCTCGGCTTCCCCCTAGTGTGGGGGAGGACCCCACTGCAGCTCCACCAATAAACTTGTATCTAACTGCATGTCTGGACTCTGACTCCTCGGAGGTGGGATCCGGAGTGACCGCCATCAGCCTCTCCCAGCTTTCCAGCCCCGGCTCTTGACTTGGAAGAGTCCCTTTGTGAGCAGGGCAGGGCTTCAGGAGGGGATCCTGGAGAACATTCACACTTAAGAACTCCAGCAGGCCAGGCCACTCTCCTGTTAGTTACAGGGCCCGTGTGGGCTTGGTCCTTGTGCTGTGTCTGCAGGGCTGGGAAAGACAGCAAGTCCTGTGTCCAGGTGTGGGTGTTTATGAATACCAGGGCTTTTCTTTACTCTTACTCTCCTGTCTTAAAAACCATACATTTCAAAGACTCTTACAAATCTCTCTCTCTTCTCTGTCTCTCTCTTTTTATTTTTCAAGACAGGGTTTCTCTGTGCAGCCCTGGCTGTCCTGGAACTCATTCTGTAGACCAGGCTGGCCTTGAACTCAGAGATCCACCTGCCTCTGCCTCTTGAGTGCTGGGATTAAAGGCATGGGCCACCTGTCTCATTTTTTAAAACAGTCTCATGTAGTCCAGGCTGGCCTTGAACTCCCTGTGTAGCCAGGTGTAACCTTAAACATGTCTCCACCTCCTGAGCACTAAGATTGCAAGCATGGGCTACTATTAAGTTTTATGAGGTGCTTGCTAGGAATCAAAACCAGGGCTTCATGTGTGCGAGGCAAGAATTCTATTAACTAAGACACACACACACACACACACACACACACACACACACACACACACACACGCACACACACACGGGGTGGGGGTGGGGTCTCAACTTGTCCAGCTAACCTTGAACTCTTAATCCTGTCTCTGCCTCCCAAGTGCTAGGATTATATCCTGCTACCATATCCTGCTAGCTCTTAAAAAAGCAAACTCTCTACACTTTGGTTTTAGACCTGTGCTTTGGAGCAGCAGGAGTTAGCTGGCCCTTCTTCCCTGGGTTGACATAGTTTCAGCCCAAATCCCAGTCCCTGGTCATTTTCTTTTTCTTTCTTTCTTTTTTTTTTTTTTTTTTTTTTTTTTGTCTTTTCAAGACAGGGTTTCCCTGTCTAGCTTTGCGCCTTTCCTGGAACTCACTCTGTAGACCAGGCTGGCCTCAAACTCACAGAGATCACCTGCCTCTGCCTCCCGAGTGCTGGGATTAAAGGTGTGTGCCACCACTGCCCAACATCCCTGGTCATTTTCATTGGCCCATTCATGTTTCTGTGAGCCCATAAAGGAAATACTTTATCCTAAAGTTATTTTTTACTGGGGTTCAACACAGGGGAAGTGTTTTCTGTACTTACTCCCAGGAGTAACTGCTACCCAGCCCCCCTTGTGTGCATACCAATATCTACATAATAACATAAATGGGATCCTTTATAGGCACCATGGTGTCAGCTGCTTTGACATGTGTCCTGGACACATTTTCCTGCAGCAACACACACGGGTTTCATGACATTTTTCAAGATGAGGTTTATGGACATGTTGAGGGTAGGCCTCCTCACTGACATCCAGCTGGGAGCCTGGCCCGGCTGGGCACTTAGCGGATGGCACCAATGGCTGGTTTGGAATTAGAGCTGGGGGTGGAGGGCTGGGGGTCCACCCACTCAGGCACGCTGCAGGGACTGGCCCAGCTGCTCTCCATGCTTTGCTAGCTCCTGACACTTTCTCATTTTCCGTCTCATTGATTACAGGCCCCAAGTGACAGGGTGGGGGTAGGGAGAGTAGGGAAGAGGTCCTAATGATCACCCCATGAACAGCTTTAATCTGCTGCCGCCTGAGATGCCGGGTACAGGAGAGGGAGCCGAATGCTCAGGACATGAAGAGACCGTGTATCCAGACTGGCTACCAGTCGAGGGTCTGAAAGGACTCACTGAAGTCTTCTGCCTGTGGCCTGGGTGATGGTGGGACAGGAACACAGCCTAGCCTCCTGTCCCACCCCAGACCCTTGAAGTGCTGGCCTGTGCTCCAGCCACCTGCTGCCCTGGTACCCCTAGACCCTGGGCTCTGGGTCCACTTCTGCTATCACCTTCTGCAAATCCTGGTCACCTCCCTGCATTTCAGCTTCCCCAGTGGTAACCAGGAGTCCGCGACACTGTGTGTTTAGGCATGCCTGGCATGTGGAGGAGGGTATGCACAAAAGGTTAATAGCTTTGGGGTAAAATCCAGGCAGCAGGAATAAGGTGACCTGGCTCCCTGGCAGAGACAGGAACCAACTGTATTGATTTTGTGCTCTGTGCAGAAGGCTGAAGTAAGTAGCAGTATTTGCATGTTACAGACAGGGAAACTGAGGCTGGTCTCACAACTCAGTGGCCGCCAGAGTTGAGCTTTAAACTTTGCTTTGGCTGCCCGGAGTCGGGACCCTATTTCCTCTGCCTCTCTATTCTCCTTCAGTCAACAACTGGGCCGTGGATAGGGAAGTCAGTCTTCAGAGCATTCTCAGCTGGGCGGTGTGGCACACACCTTTAATCCCAGTGGGGGGGGGGGGTTACCCACCAACCCCACAGTTCCCCAGAGTTTTCTTGAGTGTGAACAGGAAATATTAGATAGAAGGATTTAGAATAGAAAATACAGGATAGCCTCGAGAAGGCCTTCTACCTATTCCAACGAACCCTGACTGGCTCTGCCCCAGGGTATTTATAGAAACGCCAAGGGGTGGAGCAAAAGACACCCCCCCCCCCAGCACAGCCAAGTGCAGACCATCTCAGACACCTGCTCTCAAGCCCGTGGTCCTAATCATCCTCTATGCAGACCTGCTGGGTAAAGCCACAAGGAACCTGAAAACCGGCTCCCACATCCCAGCACTCGGGAGGCAGAGGCAGGCAGATCCCTGTGAGTTTGAGACCAGCCTGGTCTACAGAGTAAGTTCCAGGGCAGCCAGGGCTACACGGAGGAACCTTGTCTCAAAAAAAAAAAAAAAAAAAAAAAAAAAAAAAAAAAAAAAAGGAAGAAAGGAAAAACCCCCAGAGCATTCATTCTCTATCATCCATTGGCACTCCCTCCCCAGGGAGCCAGGGAAACCCTTATCTGCGGAGCTGCAATTGCCTCTTTTTTATTATTCCAGCCTACTTGCTTATCTGAAGCCCCTTCCTCCAGGTACCGTCTCTGCTGATAAACTACCCGATGGCGGATGAAAAGGTGAGGTGAGGGGGTGGGTGGGTGGGAGAGGCGAGTGAGAACAGAGGCAGGAGGAGGACCCGCCCGTCCATCAGAATCCTGGCGTCCCTGGGCAGCTGAGTGACGGGGGAAGACCTGCCAGCCAGGGAGGGGCGAGGAGAGCTGAAGTCTAGCAGGGGTGAGGGGGACAGGCAGGGAGCCGGGCTTGTCTTGTGACAGCGCGGCTGAAGTCTTCAAAAGAAAGGCTGGAGCTCCAGGGCGGGAGGCTGTGGGGTCTGAAAGGCTCGTGTCGCAGGTTGGAGCGGCGCCCCCCTGCGGCTGGTGCTATGGCAGCAGCCGGGCCGCCGGGGTAGAAGGGACTCTCGGGACCAAGTGGGATGCATGATGGTAGCAGAACCCAAAACGCTGCTGCCCCAGTTCCCGGCAGGCCCGCTTACCTCTCCCGCCTCCGGTGTCACTTCTTAGGAGAGTGACCCTTCCTTCTCTGCTCTTCAGCCTCCCTGTCCCCGCCCGAGCCCCCAGTGCGCCCCATCAGCCCGCTTTCCAAAGGGTACTGGAGAAGATGCAGGCCGGGCTGGGGCCAAGCCTGGGCTACAGATGTCTTTGTGGTCGCCCAGGATCCCACAGACAAATGGATCCTGTTGACGAGAGGGAGTGTGTGGGGAAGTTACGGGAAGGGAGGGACTTGGGGTACAGCTGAGGGCGCCTGTGCCTCTCCGGTAGACAAGCAGCAGTCTGGCTGGGGAATTTCTCTCAGAGGACCTCACCCAAACAGCCCTAACACTTAGTCCCATTCTGTTTCCTTAAGCCCAACAATTAGGCACCAAATTTAAAAGGGCATTGGCGCACGCCTTTAATCCCAGCCCTCCCTCGGGAGGAAGAGCCAGGCGGATCTCTGAGTTCGAGGCCAGCCTGGTCTACACAGTGAGTTCCAGGACAGGCACCAAAACTACACGGAGAAATCCTATCTCGAAACACCACCCCCCCCAAAAAACAGAGAGAGAAGAAATAAAAAGGGGGGTCGCTGTGGCCCCAAACAGGCAGAAACATACGGGACCAAACCCAGGGAAGAAAGCGCAGCGAAGCTTCCCTGAGCAAGCAGCTTTAGAGACCAAAATAGCAAATTGACGTTTCCCTGACCCTACAGTGCCTGTAGATCGCCCTGCTTCCTCCCCCTCCCGCTCCTTCCTGGACCAGGTCTGGACCACTCAAGACTACTGGGAGGTGGGGAGGCTGCCCTGGGTGGCACTGCCCTTGAAGGAAGCTCCCAGTCTGGCTCCTAGCAAATGCTCAGCAGGACGGCTGGTGAAGGAATGGACAGAAGGAGCCATGGCCTATCTCCAGCGGTCAGGATACCCAGCCAATCAGCGTCCCCTTCATCCCCATCTCCCACCGCTGAGCCAATAAGCCGCTTTCTTGCATTCTGACCACACCCTACACCACTCTCTGGGAGGCAGTCATTTACCTAAGACCCTCCATAGTGGGTGACATGCTTTTCCTTAGGCCTATCCTGGACCCTGCTTCCCCTTGACAGTGGTCTAGTGATGAATTAATCTCCTTGGGTTTACTTGCCATTCTCCCAGCCTTTCCTAAATAATGTGAGGCTGCTGAGGTTCCTATACTTCTTTTATCTTGGTCTAATTAATGTCAGCTTCTAAACCAGGCCTTCAGCAACCAGGTGAGGTTCAGCCACCTTCCCACCACAAAACCCTGAACAGGTGATAAACATTTCAGCCCTCACTCCTGGCCTATACCGGGATGTGATGCCACCTCCTGCCCAGCCACACTGGGTGCCACCTCTTGCAAGGCTTTCTTCTCAGGTATTTTCCCACTCTTTAAGATTTAGACTTTAGCCAGGCGGTGGTGGCGCTCGCCTTTAATCCCAGCACTCGGGAGGCAGAGGCAGGAGGATCTCTCTGAGTTTGAGGGCAGCCTGGGCTACAGAGTGAGTTCCAGGACAGCCAGGGCTACACAGCTGTAGTTACATGAACTGGAGATTGAACTTGGGTCCTCCTGTTTGTAAGACAAGCACGTGTGTGTGTGTGTGTGTGTGTGTGTGTGTGTGTGTGTGTGTGTGTGTGTGTCTGTCTGTCTGTCTGTTTGGATGTATGTCACTTATATGTGGGGGACCCTGGACAATCCCCTGGGGTTGGAATTACAGGCAGTTTGTGAGCTGCTTTATATGGGTGCTTGGAATCAAACTCTGGTCCTCTGGAAGAGTAATGTATACTCTCTTAACCACCGAACAATGTCCAGCTCCACATGTTTTATTTTAAATTATGCATATGCATCTGTACACATAAGTGCAGAATGCCCACAGAGGCCAAAGGCATTGGCTCCACCTGGAGCTGGTGCTACCAGCAGTTGTGGGCCACCCAGCATAAATGCTGGGAACCAAACTTAGGATCACTGTAAGAGCAGTGGTCTTAACCACTGAGCCACCCCTCCAATGCCACCTGGCCATATCTTTTTAAAAAGTTTTCTATTATGCCAGGTATGGTAGCGTACACCTTTAATCACAGCAGTAGGGAGGCAGAGGCAGGCATATCTCTGTAAGTTCTAGGCCAGCTAGAGCTACCATGAGTCCCTGTTTAAAAAAAAAAAAATATTTATGTGTACAGGGATTTTGCCTGTGCACCATATGCCTGCAGTGCCTGTGGAGGCCACAAGAGGGCCTCTTTACTTACACACACGCACACGCACATGAGTTAAAGACAGTTGGCTGCCATGATCGAAACCTTTGCAAGGCCACCAGTATTTGTAAGCTACCTTCCCAGCCCCTGTTTTTCTTTTCTTTTTTTTTTTTTTTAAATCGAGACAGGGTCTCACTATGTAGCCCTGGCTGGCCTGGAACTCCTTATGTAGACCAGGCTGACCTCAGAGAGATCCACTTGCCTGTCGCCCAAGTGCTGTGATTGAAGGTGTGACTATTATACCTGGGGACTTTAGGTGGAACCAAAGAAAGGTGGCCTTGAACTCGTGATCCTCCTGCCTTCACTGCTTAGCTAACTGACCAGCCTGTACCACAGCCGGCACCTGCCCGTTTCTTAACCCAGACCATCTTCGCTTCCCAACTAAGCTTCCTGCAAGCCCCTGACTGATCTCCCTGCCAGTGGGGCGGTGCTCCATCTCTTCCGGGAGCTGTCACCAGGCTACCCACAAAGCTCAGCTCCTTTGTCTTCACTCTGTGTCACCTCCCACCAGCCAATGCCCCTGCCATCTCTGGGACAACGGTACGGGGTCAGAGTCCTGTCAGTTCTGTGGGACACCTCCAACTGCTCTTCACAGCTCTCCGGCACTGACAATGCCTAGTGGTCCGCTGGGGGTGGGATGCAGAGCACCACAGGGCTACTTTCAGGCCATTTTCTGAACTAAAATTGTGAGGAGTTGGAACTGACAGGTGTCTTCTAAGGGGATGGGTAGATTTGAAAGATTCATCCAAACTACCTAAAGAAATAGCGTCTGCAAAATGCTTAAGTCAGCATCTGACGCAGAAGAGCTGTTACCTGAAAATACAGGCCAAATGCCTTCAGTATTGAGGTCAGGAAATTGACTTCTGGCAGTTGATGAGAATCACGTGGCACACTCAAGGTGGCTTCTCCGTGGATGGAGAAAAGGCTCAGTCAGACATGGCGGATTTTATTAAAACATTGTCTTCACTAATAGCGGCTTTCATTTTGTTTCCCAGTATAAGAGCTAACTTCTGGCTGTAGGGGAGTTTATTCAATTTAGAGCTGTGTTATGATTAGGAGAGCCAAAGCAAGCAGGGCAGGAACACCTCCCACCACTTAGCAACTGAGGAGAATGTGCATGCCACTTGGCAGCGAGCGCTGCTTCCACGCGGGGACGGCTCCAAGTTCTGCAAGACTCCGAGGCAGTCTGATGGGTCTCCAGTCTTACACTGGAGCAGTTTGAGCAGAGCGAGGTACTGCAGAGGAAAGCTATCCATGCTCTCTTTCCACCCATCCAGCCCACCCCCAGTTTGAGGGAGGTGGGGTGTTTTTTTTTTAATTTTTATTTTGTTTTGTTTTTTTTTCACAGAGATCCACCTGCCTCTGCCTCGTGAGTGCTGGGATTAAAGGCATGAACCACCACTGCCCGGTTTAGACCCATTTCTTTCAGAACTGATATACAAATCTCACAGCATGCTGTGGTATTTCAACTACCACCAGGCAGCAACCCTTTGCCAAGCCTGGCTCACCTCTTCATGGCAGATCATTTTCATGGCTCTGCCAGGCTGTAGCCTACCTAGAGACTTTCACCCAGCTCCAGGCCTGCCCACCAGGCCTTTGTGAGTCTCGATCTCTGCAAACTGGTTCCATCTACTTGATTTATGTGGCCTGTCTCTCCCGGCTTTGGATGTCCTTAATGCCAGAAGTGACCTGCTCCTTTCTAATGGAAAGAGGCATTTGAAATCAAGCAGGCTGTGATCAGTCTCCCAAGCTACCCACCAACTTCTCTGAGCCAGTTTGCACATTGGAAAACGTGGCTGAAAGGCTGTTAAGATGAAAGGAAAATATGCATAAAGTTTCTGTTTGCACTACTTTCAAGAGGGTGATTCTTCTCACGTTGCTGCAAAGTGCTAACCACTCTGAGTGAAGACATTTTCTTGAATGGTGCCTGGGCAGTTTGGACCATTGGGTACTGACGGATGGAAGGTTAACCTATAGAAACCACTGGATGTCTTTTTTCTTTCTTTTTTTTTTGGTTTTTCGAGACAGGGTTTCTCAGTGTAGCTTTGGCCCCTTTCTTGGATCTCGCTCTGTAGCCCAGGCTGGCCTCGAACTCAGAGATCTGCCTGGCTCTGCCTCCCGAGTGCTGGGATTAAAGGCGTGCGCCACCACCGCCCGGCTCTGGATGTCTTTCTATAACCGAACCTGACACTCGAGGGAAGGCCAGATGTGATGGTACGGGCTTACAGACTGGGGGAGCTGGAGGAGGCAGGCTGCAAACCAGAGGAAAGCTATAAAGCAATCCCAGACATGCCTGGGAGACACAGCAAGGCTTTGGTTCAAAAACAGAGAGCAAATAAATAAGCAGGGCGAGTGATTATCTTCTTCTGTATTCCCAGTGCACACGGCGCTTTGTGTCCAGGGTGTGCCAAGTCTGTTGTTCAAGTTCATGGACCAGAACGGCTGCTCTCAGCCCTCACCTGCACACACAATTGCTATGCCCCCCCCTTAGCGCCTATCATAAGGGCTCCATGCCAAAGGCTGCTCAGCTCTCCACGGCATTAGGCAGTGGCCCCCATGGAGAGTAAGGGGTTCCCCATACTGCAGGCAGCTGGAGAACCTCAGGGCAAGGTACTGGGGATGTGATGGAAACCTGGGCCACTGAAGGACAGCAAAGAGTTAATGCCCGGAGGACACTGAATCTCAGCAGCTCCAACCCGGTGCACAGCCTCCCTTCACCAGGACCTGGGTGTTCTCCCAGAAGGCCAAGCCCCACTGCTCAGGACTTGGACTGCGATTCAGCACAGAGTAGGCTGGACACAAGCCAGAGTCTCTAAGAGAGCTTCGCTGTCAGGGAAACATAATTTGAGAACCGAGTGTCAGCCTGAGCCTTACAGAGCCCATCGGGGGGTCTGTGATCCTACCACAGCACTCATGAGGAACCAGGAACTGTTTGGCTATTTATTAGTCAGTAGAAAAGTAACTGTACAGATTTGAGTGTTAAGAACGGAGATGAGGCCGAGGGGGCCCCAGTATCAAAGACTGCACCCCCAAGCCAGAGAGTACTCTCGTCTGGAGCCTAAAGCATGGTCTCAGTCTGTACATATATATGCTTGGGCTATCTGGATGCCCCGGATGTCTGCTAAGTGAGCTGCCCCCGTGGGGGGCACTGGGATTCCTTGCCCAGCAGCTGGGCCTGAAGAGAGACAAAAGGGAAGGCTGGGCCCTAGAAACGGCCTAGCACGGTGGCAAGCAGGGCCATTCGGATGTACATGCCATTCTCAGCTTGGCGGAAATAGGCTGCCCGAGGGTCGGAGTCCACCTCCACGCTGCAAGAGAAGGAAAACTTTGTTACCACACAGCTCCCGGAGAGCCTGTCAGACGAAGGTCTCTCTCCACAACCAGCCCAAGGGGAGCCTAGAACAGCGAGCCACATCACCTGATCTCATTGACGCGGGGCATCGGATGCATCACCACCATCTTCTTCTTGGCCCGGGTCATGATGTGGGGAGTGAGGATGAACTGACCAAAACACTGTAAGGTAGGTAGAGGTAGGGTCCCCATTAGACTCAGGACGGAGGTGGCCACAGAGGACACAATCGGGGCTCCCCACACTCTCACACAGCTGGGGCAGCTGAGGGATCTGGAACTTAATGGTGCAGCTCCAGCCTGATCCCAGCTTCCCCACCCTTTCATACGGATGCCCAACAGCCCAGCCCCGGGCTTCCGCCCTAAGCCTCGGACTCACAGCTTCGTATTCCTGAGCAGAGCCAAACCGTTCTTTCTGGATGCGTGTCATATAGAGCACATCGGTGTCGGGCAGCGCCTCCTCAATGCTCTCAAACTCCTCCTGGAGAGGGGATCCCAGTGAATGCAGTGCTGAGCTCTGGCCGCCCAACCCTTAGCCCCCGGTACGGATTGAGGCACCAGGATCTCACCTGTTTGGTGCCTCGGGAAGCCACGAAGTCCCGGACACTGGGTGGCATGCGCAGGCTGGGGGGCGCCACATAGCGTAGGCTCACACGGTACTGGGTGAGCAGGCAGGCCAGGGAGTGCACCGTGCGCCCATGTTTCAGGTCACCTACCATGGTGATCTAAGGGAGGCAAGCAAGTCACCAGACAGACTCACAGTAGGCACCCCTCCTGCCGTCTCAAAAGCTGGGGCCCCGGGACTGGAGACACCACTTCTGAACCGCCTTCCCCTCCGGACCTCCAGTCCCTGGCCCCTCACCGTCATGCCGTTGACGGTCCCCAGCTCTTCTCGGATGGTGAAGATGTCCAGCAGGGCCTGAGTAGGGTGTTCGCCAACTCCATCCCCGGCATTGATCACTGGTCTGCGACAATGCTTGGCCGCCAGCTGGAAAGACAGGAGGTGCTGTGGAGACTCCTGCCTTCTGCAGTTTGGAAAGCTCCCCCTGCCTGCCCTCTCCATTTCCTGGGTCCGTTCAACCATCTGGCCCAACCTAAGCCTTGTGGTCACAGGAAATGTGGGCAGGAAGGGACGTTATGTCCCTCGGTCCAGTCTTAGCCGCCCCATCTCACTGTGCAGGCTGGCCTCACCTCCACGGCTCCAGGCTGAGGGTGCCGGAGCACGACAACATCCGCGTAGCAACTCATGGTCTGCACCGAGTCGGCCAGGGATTCGCCCTTCTGGACGGAGGACGTGGCTTCCGAGAAGCTGAGAACAGCGCCCCCCAGCCGGGCCATGGCTGCTGCGAAGGAGCTACTGGTGCGGGTGCTCACCTCGTAGAACATGGAGGCCATGACCTTCCCCTGGGGAGAGGACAAAGTGGAAGGGGTGTGTGTGTGTGTGTGTGTGTGTTCGCGCGCGCGCCTTGGGAATGCGCACAGGTCAGCGTTCACCTCCCCACTCACACCAGTGTGTGCTGGGAACCTCCCCTGGGACCTGCCACCGCTTAACGTTTCCACACTAGCGTGACTCAGAACTAAAGCCAGGCCTGTGTGTGTGACCCCGAAGAGAAACTATCACAGCCGTTTCCTGTGACTACCCTCGTGCAGACTAGATGACCCCATGCGCGGGCGGGGTCAGTCGCTGCTGGAAGGAAGCCAAAGGAGTGCAGGTGCAGATCAGAAGGACCTTCCAGAGCAGAGCTGGGCTGCAGACGGTGCAGTCTGCGTGCACACACAAAGGGACCGGGTAGACCGGCCGCCCACCACACGGCCCTCCTGACCTTTAGGATGTCGAGGCTCCGTTCTTTCTGTACCATCATCCGGAGTGTGTGCGCCACGTTGAACAGATGGGACATCTACAAAAGACAGTCAGTCCCACGCGTCCTGCCACCCACTCCCCAAGTCCTCAAGCTCTGGGTGTCGCGCCCCCCGCCCCCGCAGGCACCTGATCCTTAGTGAACTGCTTGACGGACAGGATGTGTTGGCCCACTAGCGAGTGTAGCAGGGGTGAAGTTTGGGGGTGCAGCAGGCCAGAAGACCCCAGGTTCTGAGGTGACGCCTGTCTAGGTACTGGTGGTGCAGGGTGGCAGGAGCCTTCAGGGGTTCCCATCAGCTCTACAAGTGAGGGGCAGTGCAGAAGACCGGGTCAGAAGGCTCCCCTACTTAGACTCCAGAGGCCCCCAGGTGAGGCCCCCCAGGTGAGGCCCCCCAGGTGAGGCCCCCCCAGGTGAGGCCCCCCCAGGTGAGGCCCCCCCAGGTGAGGCCCCCCAGGTGAATGTGCATGGGGGGGGCTCACCTATCTCTATCTTCCGGGGTGGCTTCTCTTTGGGTTCCTCAGCTGCAAATGACAACAGGACAGAGGTCACCTGGGGGCTGGGCTGTGCTAGGCCCCAATCACAAGGCCCTCTGCTCGCAATGCTTGTGTTAAGGCCACCTCATATCACAGGTGCTACAGCAGGTTAAGGGGGAGAGCAGCTATGGGGAGGGACCCGGGACTCCCTGAGGGGACGTGCTGTACGGGCCAAGTGGTGCCCTCCCAGGGCCTTCCCGGCTGGCATCAGGGATCTGAGGCAGAGGAATGGCCAAGTTCACACCAACCAGCAAGCGGGATTTACCCCATGCTCGGCTGCCCCATGAGATCCCAGCTCCTGGGCGGAGGTACATAGCTGCCCACAACGAGAAAAGGCCTGTGAGGAAACGCTAGGGCACGCCTGTTTCAAGCTGTAGTAACTACTTTGGTCAGAGCAGGGCACAGCGGCTCAGACCAGGAGCGAGGGAAAGAGAGTGAGGCGGGGTAAGGAACAAAGGAGCCCCGAGAGGAAGAGCCTGAGCCAGTTCCTGGGCGGTTGAGCCCCCAACCCTGGCCCATTACGGATGCTGTGAGGAACAGCATCCATCCCCACACAGGTCAGCAGGCATGAGCCTTCATCCTGTGCCACGGGAACCCCTCTTACCTGGCAAACCTGGGTCAGAGGCTCGGTGGATTCGGGGTGGCAAGTGGAAGCGGCCATCGGGAAGGCCTGGGATGACTCGCCGAGGTCTCTCGGGTGTCTGCAATGGAGATGGGCCAGCATGTTGAAGAGTTCCTGACCCCCACTGGCCTACACACAATCCCTTAGAAGCCGGTGGCCCCCTGTGCGCAGAGTCCACCCCACGGCACCTCTGCACTGCTCCAACCGTCTCCCAACATGTTGCCAACAGCTGGCAGACACAGTTGGCCTGTTTGAGGTCTGTGCCAATTTAGCAATGGCCTGGGCAGACACGTTAACTTGTGATTCTCAGCGCTGGCTTCCTGTGCTGAAATCTAAGTCCGCTCTGCCGTGGACAGGGAGGCAGGTATGTGATTTCATCTATCAAGTGTAACACTTTCCACCAACGAAACTGCTGTTAGCCCAGCCCCAGGGCACACCCTTTGGGCCGAGGGCCAGATCCAGCCTCGGGGCCAGAGTGGTTACCGTGGTTATTTCTGTGGAGGCAGGAGCTGAAGGAGGGGGCTGGGGAACAGCGCCCTGAGGCCACTTCCGTACATCCTGTCCATAGCCTGGGGGTACCAACACCTGCACACAGAAGGTAAGGAACATGAGGGAACGGGAATGTACACAGGGGCTCTTAGAGAAGCGGATACCAGTGAGAACAGGGCACCTGGGACACAGGGCGGTGAGTCTGTAGTGGGCAGGGAACGAAAGGAAATGCTGCTCAGGAGGTCACTACTGAGACCAGCTGGGGGCCACACACATACCTGTCCATCGATGTAAGCAACCTCCCCTCGCAAGACCACACGGCGGATGGTCCCCTTCACCTTCTGCCCTTCAAACGGGGTCCAGCGGGCCTTGGAGAAGGGCATGTGGCTAGGGATGGTCCACTCATGCTCCAGATCCACCTGCCCGGAGGGGTCAAGAGTCACCCAAGGGTAAGGTCACACCCGGGGTACAGCTTTGAGGGCGGCCATCTCCCCCCAACTCCAGGTCCTTGTCCCCACACCTCCACATAGGTGTCCTCCTGCGGGGGCAGGTGGAAGATCCGCCTGGGGTTGTGGTGTAAGCGCTGCAGGAGGTCATCCAGACTGAGTCGGCCCTCACTCACAGCCGTCAGCAGCAGTGGCAACATGGTCTCCAGCCCGGGGAAGCCAGGTGGGGGCTTGGGCCCACACTTCTCCTCCAAGGTATGGGGGGCTGTAAGAAAACAGCTGTCACTCCGGGAGGCAGGCCCGGACACCTCGTTCCAAGACTTCCAGAGATGTCACTGTCCTTCCTACTAACCCCAGTGGTCAGGCTTTCCCTGTGGCCCTGCCCCGGGGCTCGGCCCCTGCACACACATCTCCACTCATGTTCATTCTTTCAGCCAGTACTTGTCAAGTACCTATCACAGAGCAAGGACGGAGTCCCCGAACTTAGGGAGCCCCGAGTCACGTTGGGGCCCTCTCACCGTGGTCTGAGGCAAAGCAGTCGATGACCGCCATATTCTCCCATAGAGCCTCCATATCCTCTCTGGAACCAAGCTCTGGCCGGACCTCTCCCTTCCCAGGTCCCAGGCGCTCCAAGTCTTCCCGGTTTAGGAAGAGGTGGTGGGGTGCAACCTCACAGGTCACCGGCAGGCCTTGTGCCTTTGCGGTTTTAATCAGCAGGATCTAGAGAGAAAGAAGGGCAATCCACAGAGGTTCCCATCATGCCCTGCCCTACAAGGTCTCTAGGCCTGGCATTCCTTCTCAGAGCACCGAGGGCCAAATGTGTCAAGGGCAGTAGGCTCCCCAACTCCCTTCTGCCTCCAGGGACTTGTGGTGACCTTTGGTCTCACTGGGAAAGTGATAGGCACCAAGACCTTTGCTACACTCTCACCTCTTCCTTCCGAGCCACGTGACAGATGTGCACTGGGCGCTGGGTCAGCTGAGCCACCATGAGAACCGCAGCAACACTCTGCCGCTCCGCATGGGCCACAATGGGGAGGTGGGAAGGCCAGGTTTCAAAATGCTGGGGGCAGAAAGAATTGATGAGGGAAGATATGCTTGTTTTTTGTTTTTCGAGACGGGGTTTCTCTGTGTAGCTTTGCGCCTTTCCTGGAACCCACTCTGTAGCCCAGGCTGGCCTCGAACTCACAAAGATCCGCCTGCCTCTGCCTCCCGAGTGCTGGGATTAAAGGCGTGCGCCACCACCGCCCGGGGATGATACGCTTTTTTGATTCCCTGTGCTCATCAAGCCCAGGGCCCCGGAAGAACCCGAATCCTCTCTGCTGCCAGCCCATGGAGACAAGGCCTCAAGCCGGGAGTTAGCATGTGGTGATATATTCCCTACCTCCATCCATTGGGCCACACTGTCCAGCCGTAGCTCAGAAAAGGTTTCGTTGAGGTAGAGCTTCAGCCCTGCTGCAGACCCAGCCACAGCACCCAGAGTCCCTGCGTTCTCAGATGAGGCCCCAAGGAACAGGGCAAAGTCACAGCGGGCACCAGCCTCTGCCAGCTAGGGAAGACACACGTGAGGTAAGGTTCCCTGGCATCTATGCCCACCCACGTCCACAAACCCGTGGCCAGGGTCCCAGGAAGGACGGAGGGAGAGAGGTTCAAGAAGGCAGGGGGGTACAGCGGCTCACCTTCTGGGCCAGGGCCAGAGCAGGGGCGTCAATAATGGGGGGCCGGGTGTTAGGCATGGCACAGACCATGGTGACACCCCCAGCCAAGGCAGCGGCTGTGCCCGAGGCGAAGTCCTCTTTGTGTGTGCCCCCCGGTTCCCGAAGGTGCACGTGGACGTCGATCAATCCTGGGGAATGTGAGGGGCAAGGTCAGAGCTGGGAGTGGCAGAAAATTCACAGCCACTGACACAAGTTCCTCAGTCAAGAGAGAGCACCGTGGACTCGGAACAGAGATCCCAGGAGGGCCTTCGGTGCCTGTAGAGTCGGAAGCACCCGAGAGACACACTTACCAGGCAAGCGCACCAGCTTCTGGGAGGTCATGCAGTCCACGTGCACTTTCAGAGGAGGGGCTGGGCCAATCTGACCTAGGGCCTGCGAGTGGAAGGCACAGGCAGGACAGGTTTATGGGCAGGGTGGCCCTGGGAGGTGAGGCAGAGACCGAGTTCCTCTATCACCTCTCTCCATCCCACCTCACCACCTCTGGAGCCACGAAGCTTCACCATTGGCACACCACCACCTCCTGACCCCCCCGGAACATGCTCATGACGCCCCCCTCCCCCAGTGCCCCCCCCCCCCCAGCTCCCGGGGCTGTATCACCTCCACGAAGAGTTTGGTGCACTTGATGTCGATGATGAGAGGCACGGAGAAATCAGCAGCCAGGCGCCGGGTGCGGTAGCCCTTGGTGACGAAGGAGGAGAGCCGGCGACCCCCAGCCCCGCGCATCGACAGGTTAATCACCAGCTCAAAGTGATTCTCAGCCAGCTGATCCAAGATGCTCCGCTGGGGTGGGCACTCACCATCCACAGCCTCTTCAAAGTGCCAGTCCACAGCTGTCACCTGCCAGCCCAGAATTGAAGTCAAGACCAACCTAACTGTGTGTCAGGAAGACCCAGGAGTCCGTGATGAGGAGACTGAGAATCCACAGGCTGGGGACGAGGGACTGACTGCCTGTTTGCTACTTGTAAGGTATAATTCTCAACAGAAAAAGTATTTATTTCTACTGTGTGCAAGAAGCCAGGTCACCAACGACTGAATGAGCTCACACACGTGTGCACACGCACCAAGACTCGGGAAGTGGAGACACAAGAATGTCAACAGTGCAGGAGACCCTTCGAGAAACTTCTGTGCTTTCTTACACACCCTACTTGTTCTACGTTGGGGTAGGGGGGAAAGGAGAGTCCTCTGGGGCCAGAGGGGGAGGGTGGGAGCCACTGCATACCTTCACCCCGTGCTCAGTGTAGAAGTCAGCTGTCCCCAGGCTGGCGTAGAGGCTGTAGCCCAGGCTCTCCAGCAACCGCACAGTCGGGAGCAGCTCACTTTTGTTCTAAAACCAAGCAGAGGCAAGTTGAGCCCCGCCCGGCCCGGAACGCCGAAGCTGCGTGACTTCCCACCTCCCTGGCTGGCCCTGGTACCTTGTAGCTGCCAATGGTCAACAGGATGTTCTTCTTTGGGATCTTAAAGCCGGTGCTGAGCATAGCTTTGAGGTAGGCCTCACAACGGCTCTCCCCAAAGCCAGCCACCTCTCCAGTACTGGTCATCTCCACGCCCAGCACCACGTCGGCACCAGCCAAGCGGGAGAAGGAGAACTGAGGCACCTGGGGGAGGAGAGGAGGCACAAAAGGGGCCCTGTCCCCACTGCAGCAGCCCAGCCGGGCTGCCCTTCCCTCAGCCCTGCAGCTCCCACACTGCCTCCACTCTGGCCGTTTCTTGGCCCCGGACACAGTCCCAAGGAGCCCTGCAAATCCAACAGCCTTACTGTTCTTGAGACTCGCCTCCAGTACCACCCCTTCTCCCAAGCTGGCCCAGAGTCTCTAAACTCCTTGTACATTTGGTTTATAACTCAGTTATGTAGGTGTGTGCCACAGACTGTTCCATAACAGGCTATTTTGGGACCAAACTTCTTTTGCCTCCTACAGGGTAAGCTCTTAAGGGATGATGACCATCTTATTACCCCATGGTTGGGCAATGAATACCTTGCGTAGGGGAAGAGTTTATCTGCTCATTGAGCTCTCTCCTTTAGCTCAGTGGCAGAGCACTTGTCTCCCATGCCTGAGGCCCTGGGTTCAAGTCTCTGGCACCACCAAAAACATAGATAAATTAAACAAAGCAGCCACGTGTTCCACAGTTTACAGAACCCTCCAGTTTTTAACCTGAGCCGTTTGTAACCATTAGGGGACTTGTACACTAGGCTCAAGGGCCCTTGTCCCCCTTACCTTTACTCCCACGACTCCAGAGCCCGTCATGAGCCCCACGGGTTCGACCTTCTCTCCCATGATGATCCTCGTGGCCAAGGCCACGAGGTCAACACCTAGTGTCTTCGACACGAAGGGGAAGGAGCGAGAGACGCGCACATTGCATTCAATGACTTTCAGCTGGTCGTCCTGGGGGAAAGACCACCGGATCAGGCCCTGTGAAGCCCGGGCATGCGAACACCGTTCCGATATCGTCGGCTCTCGCCCTCACGATCCAGTGAGGGACCAACTGGACGACCGTGACCAACCCTGACACTGCTGTGGACTCTAGAAACAGCTTTGCTGCCCGCATGGGTGAGGGTAAGACACAGTGCCCAGCGCCCGGGCAGTGGAGCCAGCAGAGAACATGGAGGAGCTGTAGGCTTTCGTCCCTTCCTGTCGACTTATTACCTTGGCAATGAGCTGCAGATTGAAGGGCCCTGTAACCTGGAGCTCCTGGCCCACAGCATGCACAATGGCTTTGATCCGCTCCAGAGTTTTGGGGGTGATGTCTTGTGGGGGGGTCACCAGCGTGGCATCCCCTGAATGCACACCTGCATTCTCCACATGCTCAGAGATGGCAATGGCCGACACGATGCCGTCGCAGGCCACGGCGTCCACATCAATCTCCTGGAGGCAGACACGGGCAGTGGGAGGTAGGACGGGGCCATTCCCTCCTCCTGCTGCCCTCCCCACGAAGCTCCACTGGTCAAACAGCGCCATGCAACCTCTCCTTCAAGCCCACTGTGCCGGTAACTCAGCAACAACGCAGCCTTCTCTGGGGCTGGGGGGCCGGGGGGTACCTCTCACCTTTGCTTCCTGAATGAATTTGGAGATGACCACAGGGTGCTCCTTGGAGACAGCTGCTGCACTGCTCAGGAAGCGCTCGAGGTCCCCATCAGTGTAGGCCACGTTCATCGCAGCGCCGCTGAGCACATAGGAGGGGCGCACCACGCAGGGGTACCCCACAGTCTGGCAGAACTGGCGAGCGGACTGCGGGAACAGGGAGCTCAGCAGAGCTGGCCACACTCACCCAGGGACAACACCCAGCCCCCAGGCTTCCTGCCAGTCCTACCTCGAGGTCACTGAGCTCACGCCACTGAGGCTGGCTGATGCCGATGGTATCTAGGAGCCGGGAGAACTTGAACCGGTTCTCGGCCGAATCAATGGCTTCAGGGGAGGTGCCCAGGACTCGGCACTGCTGCCGATGCAAGGCCATGGCCATGTTGTTGGGCAGCTGCCCACCCATGGACAGGATCACACCTTCAGGGTTCTCCAGCTCGTAGATGTCCATCACGACCTGCAGTACAGGAAGGGAACGGAAGGGCTCAAGCGGCCGAGCCTTCTCGCTCCCCGCTTCCCTCAGCCTCGGGAGGTACCAAAGAACCCTGGGCGGCCCAGCCTGTCCCATTCATTCCCTGGGGCCCGCCCCCTCTCACCTCAAAAGAGATCTCGTCAAAGTAGAGCCGGTCACACATGTCATAGTCAGTGCTGACGGTCTCCGGGTTGTAATTCACCATGATGGTCTTATAACCCATCTGCCGGAGGGAGGGAGCGAGCGAGCGGGGTGTTAGTGATTAAGAGGGAGCACATGGAGAAACCGAGCCACAGGCCCCCCTGCAGCCCTCCAGCCCCGCTGCAGCCCGCCAGCCCGCCTGCTTTCCATGAAACAGCTACACATGGCTACAAGTAGGCAAAATGTGGGGGAGGAGCTTCAGGCAGTGAGAGAGGCAACAAGATAGCTTAAGGAAGGCCCCCCCCTAGCCCCAAACCTACGACAGAAGGTATAGGAATGAATAGGAAAACCAGGGTCTCAGGGGAGGACAGGCAACCAGCGCCCAGGGAGCAGGAAAACAAGGAGCAAAGGACTCGGACCTTGCGCAGCTGCTGGATGCAGCCCACAGCACACCAGTCAAACTCGACACTGGAGCCGATGCGGTAGACGCCGGAGCCCAGCACCAGGACGTGAGGTGTTCGGAAGTCGAGGTCATGGGTGTTGCCCCAGTATGTCAGGTACAGGTAATTGGTCTGCGCTGGCCACTCAGCGGCAACCGTGTCGATCTGTTTCACCGCTGGGCAGATGCCCAGTTCCTGACGTAGCTTCCGAACAGCCAGCTCTGTACTAAAGATAGAAACACAGGCCTTGAGAAGAGAGCACAGACTGACTGACAAGCAAGTGCTAGGGCGGGGCTAGAAAGGAAAACATCCTATGGACAGATGAAGGTGATGGACAGATGAGACCCGCCAAGGTGCCCCACCAATGGCCCCCCTGACCCAAGAGCTCCCTCCCCGCACTTCTTGGCCCGAGGCCCTCACCACCATCTCTGACCTCAGGACTGCAAGGGCAATTTGTTTGTCTGAGAAGCCAAGGCACTTGGCCTGGTGCAGCAGGTCTTGGGGCAAAGGCTGGCCACGGTGTTGTTCCAGCAGCTGGGCGTGGGTCACAATGCGCTTCATCCGGTGCAGGAACCAGCAGTCGATGCGCGTGAGCTCGTACAGGCGCTCCACCGAGTAGCCAGCCCACAGAGCAGCAGCCACCACAAAGATCCGCTTATCCGTTGGTGTCTCCAACTCCTGTTGGGGAAGAGCACAGACGGATGGATGCAGGACAGTGCAGGGGTGGGACAGTGTGTCCGGAGAAGTGAGAAATAGCAAATCACTACGTGACTGCCACCGTTGCTGTCAACAAGCCCCGGCTGGGGGGCAGAGTAGATGGAGCAGGGCCCACATCAGGGTACTTTTAGAAAAGAGAGCTGCTTACCACATCACTGACTGGCTTCACTGTATGGTCAAAGCCCACACAGTTCTCATCCACCATGCGCAGGGCCTTTTGGAAGGCCTCTTCAAATGAGCGTCCAATGCCCATGACTTCACCTGAAGGATGGAGAGTGGGGTGGGTGGATACGTGTGGCAATGCCCAACATGTTCATGGGCTTTACTTCAATCTTGGCCATGGTGCTTCATCGTTAAGAAACCCAAAAGCTATCTCTTTTTTCCTACCATTCCCACAGACAAGCACAGACTGTACTAAGTCAATATGGAATTGGCATGCTAAAAATGGACCTGTGGATCCTGGAACTTGTTAGTTAACAGCAGCAGACCAAACTACTGATGGTTGTCCAGTTATTTGGCTTGCTTTATTCACACCATGATGGCACCATCTGGAACGCTTCATCCTCTAGAACATTAAAAGGTCTGGATAACGGGAAGATGATCCCACTACTACTTGAATCCATCCTCAGCCAATTGCATTTTTAAAGGCCCATGTGGTAGCACAGGCCTTTAGTTCTAGTACTCAGGAGGCAGAGGAAAGCGGATCTTTGTGAGTCTGAGGCCAGCCTGGCCTACATAACAAGTTTTAGTCCAGCCAGCACTATGTAAAAAGACCTTGCCTCAGAACAAAGAAAGGATTTGACATGCTAAGGACATAGTTTAGTCAGTAAAGCATTTCCTTAGGACCTGAATTCAAGCCCCCAAACCCACACAAAAGGCTGGGCAGCAGTAGCACATGCCTTTAATCCCAGTACTTGGGAGACAGAGGCAGGTGGATCTCTGTGAGTTCGAGGCCAGCCTGGTCTACAGAGAGAGTTCCAGGACAGGCTCCAAAGCTACACAGAGAAACCTTGTCTTGAAAAACCAAACCTAAACAAACAAGCAAACAAACAAACAAACAAAAACCCCACACAAAAGATAGGTGCAGCTTTATAGTCTTAGAACTGGAGATGGAGACAGGCAGCTTCCTGGGGATCACTGGCAGGCCAGCCGGCCTAGCTAGCCAATCGAGAGGAAGGGGGGCGGGGTGACAGCATCTGAGGTTGTCCTCTGGCTCCCTCACATACCTGCCCAAACCCACACCCAGACAAGCGTAAGCTTTTCTTCCAGGACTTTCCCCCTATATATGTTTTATAGACAATTACAGCATACAACCTCGGAAATTTCACTTCCCCCTCATCATAAGCGCTTCCCCACATGGCTGCACAGCCCCATAAGCACCACTTCAACTCCCGTATGGCTTCCCATAATTTAACTGCTGCATTACTGAAGGACATTGAGCTTTTAAGTGTTGATGGTTGTGAGGCTGTGATGTTTTTGGTTTCAGGTGACTACTTACACAAAGCTTTCCAGAAGTGCAAGGGCACTAGGCAAGAGTAACTGTGTAGCCCTTGTTAAGAACCAATTGCATCACAGAAGTTCCTGTCCTACAATACAAAGTATAAAGTGTAGCCAACTCCCTAAGAAGTGAGAATGATCATTTGAGGTGATTTTTGCTAATCGCAGTATCTCGAAGGTTGAGTGTGGTGGCTCACGCCTGTAATCTCTGCATGTGTGAGGCAGATGCTGGAGGACCACTGTAAGTTGGAAGTCAGACTGTTTCAAGCTAGCTATGGATACAGTGAGACCTTGTCTAGCAGGGAGACTGAAGCAGGAGGATTGCCAAGAGTTTGGGGACAGTGTCTGGGCTGCACAGTGACTATGAGGCCAGTCTCATCTACAGAGTGAACATTTGCATGGCTAGAGCCTGTCTCAAAAAGACAAAAACAAAAACACAAAGGAAGTTCTAAGAAGTCAGCGGAAGAAGATGGCGTTTCAGGAAGACCGGAGGAGGGTAAGACATTTCAAAGTCTCAGCTGGGAATCAATCTTTGATTGTCCTAGTTCCAATCCACTTATTTTAGCCATAATTTGATTGTGGCTCCAGTCCCATGTTTATTATAATTTTCATATAACAGAAATTCATCTCCAGAAGGAACATCTTGGCAGTCTTGTGGGATTTCTAAAAATTCTGAAATAATATCTGAGCTCAGACATACTTGTTTAAAAGGCCACGCCACTCACAGAGACTTGGAGCTCAGTGACACGCTTATCCATATCAGGTGGCATCTGAACTAGTGCATGTGCACGCTTATCTGAAAGGAGGCAGCCATGGGGACACTATGGAGCACACCTGCTGGATTCCAGCCTGTTTCCCCACTGTGTGGGAGGGTCCGTCCCACAATGCTCTAAAACGGTCAGATGGTTTTTGTTTTGGTTTTGCGACAGGGTCTCACCCTTACGGGTTAGACTAGCCCAGAACTTCCTATGTAGCCCAGACTGGTCTTGAACTTACAATACTTCTGTGTAACCCTCCTAAGCGCTAAAGCTCTTTGTTAGGTAACTATTGCTGTCTTGCTCTGATCTTAACTCTGTGTTAAAACCAAAACAAACTTCATTGTAGATGCTGGGACTTGCTGCAGTTTATGGCGACAGCCTGAACCTCTCTGACGGTTGCCCAGTCATTTGGCTTGCTTTATTCATACCATGATGGCACCATCTGGAATAATTTCATCCTTTAGAATAGTAAAAAGTTTGGCTAACAGGGAGATGATCCTACTAGTCTTTGAATCCATCCACAGCCAATTACATTTGTAAAAAGTCGTACAAAGTGCCAGAGGAGGAGATAGGCTAAGAATGGCTAGCACCGAGCTGACTTCCATTTAGAAGGATTCACTAAAAGGAGTTTGCGACCCAGGCCTAGCAACCAGAGTGCAATTCCCGGAACTCACACGAGGGTGGAAGAGAAGAACCGACTCTAAAAATCGTCCTGACTCACACATGCGCACTGTGGCAGCACCCTCCACCCTCACGGGTATCGCGCACACAAGCACAGTGATATCAAATTTTAAAAATTACGTAGGATTGGGGCTGGAGAGATGGCTTCAGCAGTTAAGAGCATTTGTTGCTTTTCCAGAGGACCCGAGTTCAGTTCCCAGCACACACATGGCTCACAGCCATCTTGTTCCAGGGGATCTAATACTTTCTGGTGTTCATACAAATATGCAGGAAAAAGTCACATATAGATAAAGTAAATACCTAAGAGAAAAATAAATAAGGACTCAGAGCAAAGCAATAGTAATTCTCTCCTGAATAAATATTTAAACAGTGAATAAAATGTCCCTGGCATTTACCAACTTAATGATGATTCCATCCATGAGGCTGAAGTGTTGCATTTACGGGAACTGGTCTCAAGGACAGCGGGCAGAGTCGTGAACAACGGGCTCACAGGATCTGGTTTCTGGTTTGACCCAGGGCTCCTCTGTGAGCCTTCAACCAGGTCACTCTCCTCATGTGGCCCCTCCATTCACTCATTTGTTAAATAAGAGAGCAGATAACCTGACCCCAGGGACTATATCCCAACACAGGCTCCCAGATGCGTTTGCCCCCTGCTCCTGATGAGGACAGTCATCTCTTGAAATGTAACCATCAGCTCTGAGACCATTATTTCTAAACTACTATTAATAAAGGAGCAGGGGAAATTCAGGCCACACTGACAATCTAGACCAGTAGCTCTCAACCTGTGGGTCATGACCCCTTTGGAGTCATATATCAGACATCCTGCATCTCAGATACTTACATTACAATTTGTAACAGTGGCAAAATTACAGTTATAAAGTAGCAATGAAATAATTGTAGGGTTGGGGAACTGTGTTAAAGGGTCGCAGTATTAGGAAGGTCAAGAGCCACTGGTCTAGCATGTACAATGATGTAATGTCCAGCATCTTGGTTCCAGCTGGACCCGTGAGAGTATGACACTCACCAACACTCTTCATACAGCTCCCAATCTTCGTACTGACGCGCAGGAACTTGCTGAGGTCCCATCGCGGGATCTTTACCACACAGTAGTCTAGGCTGGGCTCGAAGGCTGCTGTTCCCCCGGTAACAGAGTTCCTGAGCATCAGGAAGTTGGGGCACCAAAAGACAGAGAGGAACATGCAGGGTGAGCTTCGAGTCCCTCTCACAGTCCCTGTCTTGTGAATGCTTTCAACCGCCCCCTCTCCTTAACACCAGGACTCCCCCCACCTCATACCTGAGTTCTGGCAGGGGAATGCCCAACGCTAGCTTGGCTGCCACATAGGCTAGAGGATACCCTGTGGCCTTACTGGCCAGGGCAGAGCTGCGGGAGAGCCTGGCATTTACTTCAATGATGTAATACTGCAAATGGGGAGAGCAGAGAATACGTCACTGGTACCTGGCCTAGAAAAGCGCTCAAAAATGAGCATAAAGATGACTGCATCCCCAATAGGCCCTCCCCAAGCTTCAACCCTAACCAAGACAATCCTGGCTTCAGTCCGGGATGGGCAGGGCCAAGCCACCTCTCAACCACGAGGCCCAAAGACCTTGTATAAAGGCACCGTATCAACCTCCCAGGATCACCTGCTCAGACTCCGGGTTCAAGGCATACTGCACGTTGCACTCCCCAACAATCCCCAGGTGCTGGGTGACCTTGATGGCTGTCCGCCGCAGAAGTTGGTATTCTCGGTCATTCAGGGTCTGGCTGGGAGCCACCACTATGGACTCACCGGTGTGGATGCCCAGTGGGTCTAAGTTCTCCATGTTACATACCTAAGAAGGGGGGGTCGTGGAGGTCACCAACAAGGGAAGTCAAAGAGCCAGGAGGCTACGTCCCCGGGTCCTGCTATGTCTGGGGCTCTACTACGCTGGATCCGAAGGACAGAGAACCCGCAGAGATTTCTGCCCTTCGATCGGATCAACCATGCTCTCCCAAAAGTTCTGAATGCCTGGGCCACGCCGTGCCCGTCACTCACCGTTACACAGTTGCCGTACGCGTCTCTCACTACCTCATATTCAATCTCCTTCCAGCCCTTCAGAGACTTGTCTATCAGCACCTGGCTGGTGTGGGCGAAAGCTGGGGCCACAAGAGCCGAGAGTTCCTCTTTGGTGGAAGCGAAGCCAGAACCAAGACCACCCAGGGCAAAGGCTGCACGCACCAGCACAGGGTAGCCCAGTCGCTCAGCAGCTGCCTGAGCCTGCAGTGGGCAGAAGACATGGACCAACAAACCATTGGTTACTACCCAGAGGCCTCTTGGACCCAGAGCAAATAAGATACGGAGGAAATGACCTCATTCTTCTACCCAGCCACCCCACAAACCTGTTCAAGAGAATTTGCCGCTTCGCTGGGGGCTACGTGCTCTCCGATCTCAGCCATCATGGCAGCAAAGGCTCGTCGGTCCTCAGTCAGTTCGATGGTCTCCACGGGTGTCCCCAAGACCCGGACCCCATACCGAGCGAGCACCCCAGCTTTGGTCAGCTCCACACCGCAGTTCAGGGCTGTTTGGCCCCCAAAAGTCAGTAACACACCATCCGGGCGTTCATTACGAATCACCTGAGGCAGGAGGGGGGGGCATCAAAAGCATTGAGGGGAGAGTAGAGACAAAGCAGCTCAGGACCCCACAGCAACCAGCGAAACCCCCTGGCCCATCATGAGTCCCCTCCTCCAGCCACCCTGACGTGAGTCATACCTGAGTTACGTAGTGAGGTGTTATGGGAAGGAAATAGACCTTGTCTGCCAGCCCCTGAGAGGTCTGCACTGTGGCAATGTTGGGGTTGATCAGTAACGTCTGGATGTTCTCCTCCTTCAGGGCTTTAATTGCCTAACAGGACAAAAATGGCCCATCAGCCTCTTCTACAGAGGACGGAAGCCTTGGGCCGTCATTTCTCCTCCTGTTCCCTCCTTGTACTCAGTCACAGTAAGTGACTTCTATCCTTCACTACCTCATCCGCCTGTACGCTCGCAGACACCCCCCCCCCCATCTGTTTCCTCCCTGCCGACAATGCCCGTGCCTTAGTCCCTCTCCTTACGACTCCGTAGGTCACACATCCGGATGGGAGGCGATAGCCATGCCTTACCTGGGAACCCGAGTAGTCAAATTCACCAGCTTGGCCAATGGAGAGGCCCCCGGAGCCCAGGATCAGAACCTTCCGCGGTGGGGGAAGCCCAGAACCGGGAATGAGAAGCCCAGGCGGGCAGAGGCGCTGCGCCAATCGCTCTCTGACTGTGGATGCAAATCATGGCATGTCAGAGCGAGGGCGCCTCCGGAAGCCGTCGGCTCGGACCCCTCGCTTCCAGAAAAAAAGGACAGAGCGGCTGAGAGAGGACGAAAGGAAGAGCCCACGACCACTAACTCTGGAGTTCCTTTGGACAGAGCCGCACAAACTGCCGGGGCTGTGGCTCCTCCTCCCTCCCAAACATAGCTCTTAGAACAAGTCCACCTCGGGCTTGTCCTGGAACCCGGTCCTGTTCTTAAGTCTACATCCTGGTTCTACAAAGGGGCTTACCTGTCTGGCCCCCGGGGTTCCCAGCTACAGCCTCTCTCACGGTTTCCAGAAATATATCAAAGAGCAGTTCCATATCTGAAGGGCCAGCTCGGTGCTCTGGGTGGAACTGGACACTGTCGAAGAGATTGAATGACAAAACCCTTTGAGATCCCTGCTGCGGCTGCGGCAGCCTCGGAGAGGGGACTGAGAGCCAGGGCTGCGCTTTCCTTTCCCGTCCTCGTGGCTCCTGGTCACCCCACGGCACCCCCGGGCTCACCTGAAAAAGGGCAGGCTGTCGTGCACAATGCCTTCGTTGGAACAGTCATTGGCGTTGGTGAAGAGAGGAACCCAGCCTGCCGGCAGCGAGTCTGCATCCACGGCAAAGCCGTGGTTCTGGGACGTCAGGAAACAGCGCCCGGTGCCCACCAGCAAACAGGGCTGGTTGTGGCCACGGTTTCCGTATCTAGAGAATGGCACACTGAGTCACGAGCGCTCACACCATCCCCTCTGAGTATCTGAAACCCAGCCCTTTTAGGGGTCACTGCTCCCAACAGCTCGATGCCAGTTGCCACGCCAACAACCCCCAACTCCCAAGACAACGCATTCCTCCACGATGCCCCAAGCGTGGGCTCCTTCTGTTCCCCCAAGCCCCACCTCATTTTGTAGGTTTTGGCCCCAATGGCTAAAGCCAACAGCTGGTGTCCGAGGCAGATTCCGAACACAGGTCGGGGATTAGGCTCAGACAAGACGCGACTCAGTGTGGCGACCACACCAGGGTAAGAGGCGGGATCACCAGGTCCGTTACTTAGGAAGAGACCGTCGTATTCTGGAATGGACAGAAGAGGTTGACATAAACAGGATTTCAAAGACACCTAAGGGCTGACGAGATGGCTCCGTGCAAGCCTGATGTTCAATCCCCGGAACCCACAGGAGAGACCTGACTTCCTAAAGTTCTTGTGCCATGACACACATTCACACCCCCACAACAGTAATTAATATAGTAAACACACACACACACACACACACACACACACACACACACACACCTGACCACAAAAGTGGAATCCCTGGTCTCCACCTTCCTTCCTACAACGCATACTGATTTTCATCACTTGTTCTGAGGAATAGCTCTCTCTTCTGCTCAAACCCAGGCTGCTGGTCTGGACCGGCCCCTGATACTCACTCTGACTGTCTAATTCGTGGTCCCAGGGTACCACAGTCACCTCAGCCCCAAGCTGGCAGAGACATCGGATCTGATTATACTTGAGGCCACAGTCCAGAGCAAAGATCCGGGGGACACCCCCTGCATTGAATACCCGCGGAGTCTGGGGAACGGAGAGCAAACGCAAACGTTGACGGCTGTGATCGGCAAATGGAAGCCACGCCCACACCAAACCCCACCTCTGAAGCCCTTGAGTTCACCCCAAGTCGGGCGCCTCCTCTGTACCTTAATGGAGACCTCTGGTGCCAGGGGCCTGGCATTGGGGTCCACGAAGGGCAGGGTTGAAGGTTCTGTCCCACTCTGGACCAGCTTCCCCAAAAGAGACCCTTGTTCCCGCAGCTTCTTGGTCAGCTCCCGAGTGTCCACTCCTATCAAAACAGCGCAGCCTCAGACGACAGTCCCCCAACCCAGTTATCAGCGAGGGCAGACGTCCAGCAACACCCATGCCCCACAGCCCTGAGCCAACATGACTGCTCTGTGAGCACCAGACAAGGCTCATGGAAGCAAGTAAACTTGCCCAAAATATCACATCCAAACTGAACCATGATCTAGATCCATCTAATTATAAAAAATAACTCCTAGAAGAAAAACAAACGTGCCCAATGGCACCATAGGAATGAGTACAAACGCTGGGCAGAGTGCTGCAGGCCTATAATGGTGGGCACCTGGGAAGGGGCGGGAGGATCAGGCGTTGTTCAAGGTCATCTTGGTCACCCAGTGAGTTTTGAGGCAAGCCTGGGCTACATGGTACCCTGTCTCAAAAAGCCCCAAACCAACACTCTTTGGGACAACAAAAAAAGAAACTACACAATTAATTCTCTTAAGGAAAAACCATCTGCTGTCATGAAATAGTTACAAGACCTGCAGACTGCATTTTATACACATGGTAACAGATACCCATGGACAGAGGATATAGCGGAGTGTAGCTGCCTTTCAGATACCATTACCCAAATACAATGTAACCATGTAAAAATCCGCTCAGAGTCAGACTTCAATGGGCAAACCAGGGGTGGGTTTGCTTTCTTTAGAATTTTCCCTTCCAAGCAATAGTTCAGATGCTTCTTTAAACTTGGCACATTTTGCATTTCGACTTTAGACTCGGGAACGAACAGGTTTCAGAAACCTCTCTCTGTGTCTCCCCGTCTGGACGCTGTACTTCACCCAAGCACGGCAGAGCCTGCTGCCGTGTCGTACCTTGCAGGCCGGGGATGCCACGCTGTTGCAGCCATTCGTCCAGGGTACAGGTGGCACTCCAGTGGCTGGGCGTGGGACAGCATTCTCCCACCACCAGTCCCGCCACGTGGATCTCCGCGGATTCGAACCACTACAGATGGAAAGAGGAGACGGTGAAGAAGAGTTCGGGGGAAAGCTAGCTCTCTACAGCATGTCCTGCCATCGTCTGCCCATTGACCCTCTTGCTCAGCCCTGCACCAGTCTCTCGTTCCTAAATACCAAGTCCTCCCGGCTTTCACAGGGAGTCCTCTTTTACTAACTCTGCACTGTCCCATAAGAAATACTGAACATGGCCGGGCGGTGGTGGCACACGCCTTTAATCCCAGCACTTGGGAGGATCTCTGTGAGTTCGAGGCTAGCCTGGTCTACAAAGCCATACAGAGAAACCCTGTCTTGAAAAACAAAAAAAAAAAAAAAAAGAAAGAAAGGGTGCCTCAGAGAACAGAAAATGGCACTTTCCCTTGTCCAAAAGCGAGCTTACAAGTCTTCTCTGTGAACACCCCAACTCCTACATATCCACCGTAAGTTAGTTTCCTTCGAAGATGGAACCTTTTTTCCACATCTTCCTTCTATGTCCAATGTGTACTTTGCATTTGACAGAGACTAAATCCTCAAGCATCTACTGAGTGCTCACTGGGGCAGGCTTTGTAACAGAGAAAAAGGAGGCAGTGGGCCAGAAAAGGCAAGGTGCCTGTCTTCACAGTGTGAATTTCCAACTCAGGGAGCCAGAAACTAACAAGATAATACATACGAACACAATATTAATTGTATGGTATGATTAAAAACAAAGCAATACGCTATTCCGCACAGAACATTACGATAGAACAAAGCTTTAAAAAATAATAATAAATAACACAGAACATTACGATAGAATAAAGCTTTAAAAAAATAATAATAAATAAAGCTTGCCAGGCATGGTGGTGCACGCCTTTAATTGGATCACTGAGTTGGAGGCCAGCCTAGTCTACAGAGTGAGTTCCAGGGCAGCCCTGGGCTACACTGAGAAACCCTGTCTCAACAGAAAAAAAAAAAAATGTTACAAGGTACAATGCCAGATAGACATGATTATATCATTTTTCCCATTTCATCTTAGATGATCATTTAAAAAAACAAAGTTACTCCTCAAAGGAAGTACATTGTAGTAAATTAAAAAAGGACACTTTTGTTCCTTTAGAGACAAGTTCTCACCATGTAGCACTGGCTGGCCTGGGCTATGTGGACCAAGCCTGCCCGAGTAAATGCCATCCCTGGCTTGGAGTTTTTGTGGCAGGGATTAAATTACATTCATGCCAAGCTGGTGGCATGTGTCTACAATCTCAGGACTGGGCAGGGGGAGGGCCCGAGGCAAAAAAAAATTGCTGATAGTTTGAGGTCAGTATGGCTTAACATAGTCGAGTGCCAGGATAGCCAGGGAAACACACTGTCTCAAAAAGAAGAGAGAGAGGGAGACAGGAAGGGATGGGCTCGAATGAACAAGCTCTTATAACCTAAGTTATAGTTAAAGGCAGAATATCAACATTTGCAATCCCAGCACTTGCTGAAACAAACATCTGCAAGCTTGAGGCCAGTGTGGGTTACACAGAGAAACGCTGGCTTTAAATAATAATAATAATAATAATAATAATAATAATAATAATAATGTATTCACTGAGCCAGGCAGTGGTGGCCCACGCCTTTAATCCCAGCAGAGTCAGGCAGATCTCTGTGAGTTCGAGACCAGCTTGGGCTACAGAGTGAGTTCCAGGAAAGGCTCCAAAGCTATACAGAGAAACCCTGTCTCAAAAAGCCCCCCCAAAAAAAAGAGGTACTGACTGAACCTGTAATCTCAGCACTGGGGGAAAGCTGAGGTGGGAGAGCTCTGAGTTGGAAGGTCTACCTGAGCTGCAGCCTCCCCAGGCCAGGTGGAGTGATCCACGCACACAGCTTCAGGCAAAGCAAATGTCTTGGGCTGTAGATCTCAGGGGTTTAAATTTTTGACAACTCACATGTTAACCAAATTCATAAGATACCGTGTTGTAAACTAAAAAGCAGGTACTCCAGGATTATGATGAGAAATTTCCAGGAATAACAATTAGTGTGCCCTTATTCAAGGCAGGCTTCAAAAATCAGAATTAGCCAGTCAGTGATGGTGCCTATCTTTTTTTGTTTGTTTGGTTTTTTTGTTTTTAATTTTCGAGACAGGGTTTCTTTGTGTAGATCTGCGCCTTTCCTGGAACTCACACTGTAGCCCAGGCTGGCCTCAAAGTCACGGAGATCCGCCCGCCTCTGCCTTTAATCTGGGATTAAAGGCGTGCTCCACCACCACACTGCGATGGTGCATATCTTTAATACCAGCACTGAGGAGGCAGAGGCAGAAGGATCTCTGAGTTAGAAGTCAGCCTGGTACAAAGAATCATGTCTCAAAACAGCAATAAACAAGCCGGGCGGTGGTGGCGCACGCCTTTAATCCCAGCACTCGGGAGGCAGAGCCAGGCAGATCTCTGTGAGTTCGAGGCCAGCCTGGGCTACCAAGTGAGTTTCAGGAGAGGCGCAAAGCTACACAGAGAAACCCTGTCTCGAAAAACAAACAAACAAAAAAACAAAAACAGCAATAAACAAACAAATATGTAAATAAGGGGGAAGGATTAAAGGCTTGGGTATAGTATCAAATGTCACAACATGGGAGGCAAAGACAGGTAGCTCTCTGGGAGTTCCAGACTCGCCAGGGTTCCACAGGGAGACCTCTCTAAGACTGGAATCAGAGCTTGAGCAAGTTTTGTGAAATACCACATCTAGTCTACAGTGACTTCTATTACTATCTTAATGGTTGTGTTAATATTTGAACTTGACTCTCAGTGGCACCTTAGTTTCCAGACTTCACAGAGTGAATGGGGGTAGGATGAGGGGGGGGAACCTCACTGTATGAGGAAATTTCAGTTTTCTATCTGGAGGTAAACACTATTGAGAAGCGCAAGATCAAACAATACCAAGGAAGGTGATCAATGTCACTGGTATGTAGACAAACCGGCAACCATTGGTACTAGAAAGGGGTACGATCCTTGTTCCCAGTTTCTCGACAATGTACAGGACCCTAAAGCAGTGGTTCTCAACTTGGGGGTCACGACCCCCAGGCACACATGACCTTTTTGCGGGGGTCGCCTGTGACCATTGGAAATATCAGATATTTACACTGGGATTCATAACAGTAGCAAAGTTACAGTTGTGAAGTAACAACAAAAATAATTTTATGGTTGGGCGGGGTCACCACAACATAAAGAACTGTATTAAAGGGTAGAAGCATTAGGAAGGTTGAAAACCTAAAGGATTTTGTTTGTTCCTATGACTCTGCTACTTAAAAAGCTGGGCGGTGGTGGCGCACACCTTTAATCCCAGCACTCGGGAGGCAGAGCCAGGCGGATCTCAGTGAGTTTGAGGCCAGCCTGGTCTACAGAGCGAGATCCAGGACAGGCACCAAAACTACAGGGAGAAACCCTGTCTCGAAAAGCCCCCCAATAAATAAATAAATAAAAAGAAAAAAAAAAAAACACCTTTTGCTGGTCCTTATAAAATAAGTAGAAATCGCACGCCTTGCAGTTTTGATAACTACTCCCACAAGCCCCTTTGCCATTTCCTCTGGACCATGTCTTTACCTCACACAAGGCTCTCAAAGGGGACCACCTCCTGTGTGGTCTCCAGCTCTCTGCCTTTGAAGGCACCTAAAAGCCCTGTAACCCCGGTCGCCTTAGCACTTTAGACTGTTTCCTCTGGGATGCCCAGCAGAGTGTCAGTGAGCCACTTCACCGTTAACTTCTGATCTGGGAAGGGATGCAAAGACACTGGGTGTGACTACCTTGCTCAGGCCGAACTCGTCCTCTTCATCGGAGGGAACGCCGTAGTTGCCGATGAGGGGGTACGTGAGCACTAAGATCTGAGCTTTGTAGGAAGGGTCAGTGAGGGCCTCTGGGTAGCCGACCATGCCGGTCTGAAACACTGAAAAAAGAGGTTGAGTTCTGGCAAGGGCAGCCTTCGGAACACTGCCCCGAGCGCAGCAAATCCCGGAGGAGATGACTGCTTCGGTCGCGAGCGGCGGAAGGCAGCTGGGGCTGGGGACACCGGATCGGGGAGAGGAGTGTGCAGGAGGGGTGGACAGGTTAAGCAGAGTGGGACCAGGTCGGCAGCCCGCCCGGGCTTGCTTACCCACTTCCCCAGCAGTCGACACAGCCGCCCCAAAGGGCCGGCCCTGCAGCACCGACCCGTCCTCCAACACCAGGGCCGCCATGGGGTCGGAACTGAGTCTGGGCGAGCACCGAGACGCGGGAGGCGCGGCTAGCCTCACTGGAACCAAGAACACCGCGCGCCGAAGTTGGTCCACGTGGCTCGCTGCGCGGGGCGCTGGAGAGCAGGCGGGCGCGGCAAGCGGGAGCCCTGATCGTTCTGAGCTGAAGCACGACTGCGACGGCGCAGGCAGCCGGCAGCGTGAGGGGCGGGGCCGGCCACGTAAGGGGCGGGACCACGGGGTGGGTCCGCAGCATCACACCGAGCAAAACCCTGGAGACGTGGGAGACCCGCCCGTGCCAAACCCAGCCCCTCAAGCAAGAAACACGCAAAGGTAGGGCACTATCCCTAAAACAATGGGGGAAAAAAGTGTTTATTGTAGTCAGTAATACAAACAAGTACTCGTCCATTCCTGAACCGAGTGTCTATCACCCCGAGGTGGTGCAATTTGACACCTTCCTTTATTATCAATGGCCGCCTCAGGCTTGAACAGGATCCGCTCGCTGGCCAGTAAAGCTCGTCACGATCAGGGTGATCTCAGGTGAGCAGGAAGCCCTGTGTGGTTCATGAAGCCTTGGCCTTTCGGCGCTGGGTTCCCCAAAGTAGAATGGAGATGGCTAGCGTGGTGGATCCCAGAATCCCGAAGAACATAAGCAGTGGAAAGGAGCCCTGTGATCAGCAAACAAACAAGTCACAGCAGTGTACACACGGTCACGTTCTGACACCTCATCGGGGCACTTCCCTTGTACCCGCCTACCAGCCACTGGCATCAGTTCCTTGTATCTCTTTCTGAGAGGTTCTTGCCAAATGCATCCCTTTCTATCTAAAAGGTCCAGTGCCTTACCTGCCTCATGCATTTGTATCCGTGGAAACCATCAGCACAAACGCACTGCAAAAGACCAGGACCTTCAGGTGCACAAGATCCATTCTCAGGACACATTTCTGGGAGCCAGAGGAAAAAAAACGAGTCACTGGAGTCTAAGGACATATGACCTGAAGAGCCAATCGCTGGTCTAAGAAGCTAAACAGGTGCCTGACTGGTACTTGGATGGGAGGATATCACTGAACTCATTAGGTATTTTCCTCAAATATCTGCTTAGAGTCTCTTAATTATTTCTAGGTCAAAAGTAGAGGGAGCCGGGCGGTGGTGGCGCACGCCTTTAATCCCAGCACTCAGGAGGCAGAGCCAGGCGGATCTCTGTGAGTTCGAGGCCAGCCTGGGCTACCAAGTGAGTCCCAGGAAAGGCGCAAAGCTACACAGAGAAACCCTGTCTCGAAAAACCAAAAAAAAAAAAAAAAAAAAATAGAGGGAAAAGCTGGTCATGGTGGTGCACGCCTAAATCCCAGCATTTGGGAGGCAGGGGCAGGCAGATCTCTGTGAGTTGAAGGCCAGCCTGTTGTACACAACACGTTCCAGATCAGCTAGAAATACATGAAGAGATTCTGCTTCAGAAAATAAAAACAAAAAATAGAAGAAAGATCATAAATAATCAGGATGCAATACTACTACCAATAATAATTAAAACCTTGGGCTGGAGAGATGGCTCGGTGGCTAAGAACACTGCCTGGTCTTCCAGAGGTCCTGAGTTCAATCCCTAGCAACCACATGGTGACTCACAGCCATCTGTAATGAGATCTGGTGCCCTCTTCTGGCCTGCAGGCATACATGCAGGCAGAACACTGTATACATAATAAATAACTAAATCTTTAAAAAAAAAAATTAAAACCTTTTCAGGGGAACAGAGAACATTGGACAAATAGGCACTTTAGCACCTTTATCTGTCTATAGTGGGGAATGACTTCACTTTAGACAGAAGGAAAGGACTCCCGGGTGAGATGGCTGTCCTACAGCATACCTGGGCTTCCCGTGGTGCTATTGCAGAGGTCCTTTTGCCCTTGGCAAATCTGCTTGTCTATGAAAGAGGTACTACTTTCCCAGGCACTAATACCTCCAGGACAGGCGACATCTTGTGGTAGTATCCTGAAGACAACACGTGATCATAAATGCACAGCCAAAGAGGTTAGGGTGTATGTAGCTCAGTAGTAGAACAAACACATCGACACATAAGGCCGTGGGTTCATGGGCACCCACCACACATGCAGACATGTGCGCATGTGCATACAAACTCACTCAGGCGTATATGCGCACACACACACACACAACACAGCAATAGCAACTCTGATATTGCTGAGCACTTAACAATTAACATCTATGACTCTCTCTTCCCCGATCTATTACTCACAGAGTCTGGAGCTGTGTAAAACCACGGAAGGCGTTGGTCAAACCATCCTTGAGAGGATTTGCTTGAAGGTCTCTGCAAAGTACACACTGTTAGTACCCTGTTGAGAAAGCATGCCATTAACCTCTATGCATGCTTTCCTGGGCTGTTAATCCAATCCTTGTCCTCAGTTGTACAGGTTTAGACACTAATGTTAATCTGCCTTTTTAAGAATTAGCTCCAAAGACTTTCCCATCACCATCTTTACCTTTTGGGCAGGAAAGTACCTAGCCACTTACATGATAATTGCAGTAGAAGCCTGAAAAAAGTTTGGACCAGGATCCTTCAGGGAACAGTTCTGGAGATCTAGCCTGAAGAAACAAAGCGATTAGTGTAACTAGGTCTCTTTTCCATCCCCGGCAAGGTTAGTATGTGTGCACACACCCCACCTGAGCTAATATTGATGGAACATCACTATGTTCAGAACTATAGGAGAAGTGCTATGGTAGTGGACACTGTAATCATGTACTGTCCAATCTAATTAGCCCTAGCTACAAGTAGACTTTTGTTTTTTTTTAAACTGGAGCTGAGGACCGAACCCAGGGCCTTGCGCTTGCTAGGCGAGCGCTCTACCACTGAGCTAAATCCCCAACCCCTTTTGTTTTGTTTTGTTTTGTTTTTTGAGACAGAGTTTCTCTGGGTAGCTTTGCACCTTTCCTGGAACTCACTTGGTAGCCCAGGTTGGCCTTAAACTCACAGAGATCTGCCTGCCTCTGCCTCCCAAGTGTTAAAATTACAAATATATACTAACCAGTCCCAACAACAGAGGTTTTAAATGAAAGAAAAAACAACAAAAAAAGCATAAGTTTTTCCCAAGTAAATTTCTTATCAGAAACAATTGTAAACTTCTATACATTAAGGACTTTAAGCAGGGTGGGTGGTGGTGGTGCACGCCTTTAGTCCCAGCACTCAGAAGCAGAGGCAGGCAAATCTGAATTCAAGGCCAGCCTGGTCTGCAGAGTGAGTTCCAGGACAGCCAGGACTACACAGAGAAACCCTGTATCCAAAAACCAAACAAACAAACAAAAAAAGGACTTCCAACACATTATTTTCATTTACTGAGTGCCTATGAACTACAAAAATCATAACATTATAAAATAAATAACTTAGTATCTGGCCTGGTAGTGCAAGCTACCTGCTACTCAGGAAGCTGAGGCAGGAGGATCACAAGTTCAAGGTTGGTGTGGGCAATTCATTGAGATCACGTGTCAAAATGGTACATGCTGAAAGAAGCCAAGTGTGATGGCTCACTCCTGTAGTTCCAGTACTTGGGAGGCTGAAGCAGAGTTATTCAAGTTTTTGAGGTCATGCTGTGCTACATAGTAAGTACCAGGATAGCCAGGGCTATATAGTAAGACCCTATCTCAAAGAAAACAAAAGAAAAGGAAAAGCTAAACCAAAAAAAGGTAGCTTGACTAGCATGCACAAAGTCCTAGGCTCATTCCCTAGTACCCAGAATAACAATAACAAAAAGAAAAAAAATTAAGGACTGGAGAGATGGCTTAGCTGTTAAGAGTGTGTACCGATCCTGCAGAGGACCCGAGTTCAGTTCCTAGCACCCACATTGGGCATCTCACAACTGCCTACCACTCCAGCTCCAGGTGATCCAAAGCCTCTGGACTCTTCCAGCACCTGCACTCAAGTGCATGTACCCAGACACACACACACACACACACACACACACACACACACACACACACACACACACAAAATAAAATTAAGAAAACTGTAAATGTATTTTAGTAAAAAATAATCTAAAGACTTACAATAAAACTATTTTTAGGGCTGGAGAGATGGCTCAGAGGTTAAGAGCACTGACTGCTCTTCCAGAGGTCCTGAGTTCAATTCCCAGCAACCACATGGTGGCTCACAACCACCTGTAATGAGATCTGGTGCCCTCTTCTGGCCTGCAATCATATATACTGTATACATAATAAATAAATAAATCTTTAAAAAAAACTATTTTTAAATTGGGCAATGGTGGCACATGCCTTTGATCCCAGCACTTGGGAGGCAGAGGCAGGCAGATCTGTGTGAGTTCGAGGACAGCCTGGTCTACAATGAGTTCCAGGACAGCCACAGCTACACAGAAAAACCCTGTCTCAAAAACAAACAAACAAACAAATGAAAACAAAAACAAGCTATTTTTAAATGATGCCACAAAAGTCTACAAAATGGCAAAAACTATCACTTGTCATCCAGGAAAAAAAAATCAAAAGATCGTTTACCTATCAAATAATACTACATCAAATTTAAACGTTTTAGAATCAAGCATTAGATGCCTCCAGTTAGGTGCCAATATTTATCCACAATGCCAGTTAGGGCAAGCCTGTAGACTCCAGTCTGGGAACTTTTTTGAGTATCCAAGGATGTCTTCTCCTCCCTCACCCCAAGATGGTGCCCTTCTGATTCAGGCAGCATCGGGCTTGCATTAACTCCGATGTTTCCTCGCAGTAAGCAGCTACTCTGGACGTATTTTGCACACCTCCCGGACACTGGGTGCATATCTGCAGAAGAGAAAGAAATCTTATTAAGATTCCAGAGAGAAAAAAAGAAGAAGAAACAAGAATCAAGAGTTAGCTGTCAGCACTCTCTCCAGAATTCCTATAATACAGAGCAGAAAGCTGGCTTTTATAAATAGAATCTATTTCTTCCCCTACAACCGGCACCAAATCAGCGCACTATCCAAGTCCTTCCTGAGGGAAGGTCCTCATCTATGAGAATCATTACTTGACTATATTATGTCCTCTCCAGAGACTTCTCCACCTGACAGACACGGTTTGGCAAGCGTTAAAGGGCCGCATGCAGGTACACAAAGTACTCAAGCATCACAAGATACAGTTAGCTGTGCCATTGCACAATACCGTCACGCACAGTATTCGGGCAAGGACAGCTGGCAGAAGAGCCAGGGGACTCTGGAGTGGAAAGAACAATATAAAGTTATTCAAAAGCAAAGAGATCAGATTTCAAAGGTCTCTGAATGTGGGCAGGGCGAAGGTGCCAGTGGC